GTTTAGAAGTTTTCAAAACTTTGACCCCCCCCCCCCCCCCTCTTCGACTATGCTGATCTCTAGACTAGCCTTTTAGGGTTAAAATTCTATATACCATACAACTATACGTGTCTAATTTTACAAAAAAAAAAGTGTACCGTAGTTTTTGTTTTTGTTTTGTTTTAAGCTGCACGGAGAGAAGGATGGGCACAAAGCTCTCTAAAAGCCTAGTGGTAATATATTCAATTTAAAGAGTCTGGAGTATTTAGTTTTTAATGACTTAAAGTACAAACATGACCATTTAAAAACTAGTAAATAGTGATATTTGTTTAACCCTTGGATATAAATAAACTATAAACTTTTATGACATTTTGTGAAAACAGAATTTTTATTTTTTATCATTTGATGTTTAAAAGTTTTACTCCATCTATGGATGATTTTTTGGTTCTCCTGGTTCCAATAATTTTAGCAAATCTTATAACAATGTCTTCTGTTCAGTGTATTGAGTAAAACTGAGATTCTGAACTGAGAGGATTTACATCGGGACGTTGAGGGGGTTCAACATACCACATAATAGTCCACACTCATATTATACCACACTCATAGTCATCCACACTCATAGTATACCACACTCATAGTAGTCCACACTCATAGTAGTCCACACTCATAGTATACCACACTCATAGTATACCACACTCATAGTGTACCACGCTCATAGTAGTCAACACTCATAGTATACCACACGCATAGAAGTCCACACTCATAGTATACCACACTTATAGTATACCACACTCATAGTATACCACGCTCATAGTAGTCCACACTCATAGTATACCACGCTCATAGTATACCACACTTATAGTAGTCCACACTCATATTAGTCCACACTCATAGTGTACCACACTCAAAGTATACCACACTCATAGTATACCACACTCATAGTATACCACGCTCATAGTAGTCCACACTCATAGTATACTGCACTCATTGTATACCACACGCATAGTAGTCCACACTCATAGTATACCACACGCATAGTAGTCCACATTCATAGTATACCACACTCATAGTAGTCCACACTCATATTAGTCCGCACTTATAGTATACCACACTAATAGTAGTTCACACTCATATTAGTCCGCACTCATAGTATGCCACACTCATAGTATACCACGCTCATAGTAGTCCACACTCATAGTATACCACACTTATAGCAGTCCACACTCATATTGGTCCGCACTCATAGTGTACCACACTCATAGTATACCACACTCATAGTATACCACACTCATTGTATACCACACTTATAATAGTCCACACTCATATTAGTCCGCACTCATAGTATACCACGCTTATAGTAGTCCACACTCATAGTATGTGTTTGTATTTTTTATTTTTATTTTTTGCTTATATCTGTTATATTATAGGACAAACTCCTGATGATGCCAAAGTTTTTGGCGAAATATATTGAGAAGAAAATGATATAATTCTAGTGCTAGAGAGTAGGGTTGGGATTTGTTTAAAAACGATCTAAAGTTTACTCATAGTATACCACACTCATAGTAGTCCACACTCATAGTATACCACACTCATAGTATACCACACTCATAGTATACCACACTCATAGTATACCATACTCATTATACCACACTCATAGATAACACACTCATAGTAGTCCACACTCATAGTATACCACACTCTTAGTATACCACACTCATAGTATACCACACTCATAATATACCACACTCTTAGTATACCATACTCATAGTATGTCACACGCATAATATACCATACTAATTATACCACACTCATAGATACCACACTCATAGTAGTCCACACTCATAGTATACCACACTCATAGTATACCATACTCATTATACCACACTCAAAGATACTACACTCATAGTAGTCCACACTCATAGTATACCACACTCATAGTATACCATACTCATAATACCACACTCATAGTATACCACACTCATAGTATACCACACTCATTGTATACCACACTCATAGTATACCATACGCATAGTAGTCCACACTCATATTAGTCCTCACTCATAGTATACCACACTAATAGTAGTCCACACTCATATTAGTCCGCACTCATAGTATGCCACACTCATAGTATACCACGCTCATAGTAGTCCACACTCATAGTAGTCAACACTCATAATATACCACGCTCATAGTAGTCCACACTCATAGTAGTCAACACTCATAATATACCACACTCATAGTAGTCCAAACTCATAGTAGTTTTTTTTAACAAAAATTCTCTTTTTACTTTCAGCCTTCTTCTGGTATACTTTTTTTTTAACTCTAAAAATAAACATGGAAACTATACTTGCAGTCTCCTGCAAGAAAAATTAGCATGCATTAAGAAGTATTATTTACTAAAAGAACAAAGCTCAATAATTTAGCCGGAAATAAAAAATAATTCTCCCTTCATTAGAATAATATGATATGATATGTACAATGTTAATGTGTAGCAAATATCATGTAAACATGATATTCTGCAAACCTGCAGTACGTTGTACATTATTAACAATTTATGTTGTAGACCTATACATAATAACATTATTCATTGAAACTGCCTTTCAATTGATATACTTAAATTACGCTATAAACATAAGTGGAGATAGCTTAACTGCGTTAGATCTATTCTCACTAATCTTATAATGACATACAGGGTGTCCCAAAAAACATGGGAATTCAGTGACGAATAGTATATCGTCTTTGCTATGAATTAGCATTGTAATACCTAATTTCAACAGCCATAATATTATTATGTCTGCTAGAGTTTATTTTATGAAAAGGGTAAAAGACTGTAAAGNTTTTAACTATTGTAGTTAGGAAGAAAAGGCCGTTTAAAAAGCAACATTTAAGTGCATAGGTTGTTGCTAGAAAAGAGGAGCAAAGCGCCCGGAAAGCCAATTGAAAGATAAAACTATGTTAAATATTTTAAATATTATTGTCATTGAGGTTTTACATTTTTGATGTCATTTTGTAAAATTCAATGCCCTATTTCCTTCGTAAAAATACATATTTTATATCCGTAAAAATACATGTACGACAAACGTAAAAATGCGTATGTAAAAAATCTAAAAAATCCAGTGAATCAGGATTTTTTAGGGTTTTCCTATACAGAGATTTAAGTTTGAAAAAATCCTTACATTTCTTAATTTTTAGAATTTATAGGTTTTACCTATACGTAAAAATACGTATTTTTAAAGCATATTCAAGGTCTAAAACCAAAATGTTAAGAAGATGACTATAATTTTGCATGCACATTTGACATTATTCCTTCATTTCTATACAACTAATTCCACAAATGTCTTAAATCCATTCATAGATATCAATCATTTTCAATCAAATCCAATATTCTTCTACACCATCATCCATTCCTTTATCTGTATCCATCTAAATCAATATTGGCATATGCACTTAGTCTGTATTTTTAACAATGATGTATTCAATATCTATTATACTTCACACTCTTACCATTATACCTGTTCTGAGACTGTCAAAGTAGAACTTCTATTTTTTTTTTAAATCGAAAATTTACTGACTTTGATTCTAATGAAAACATCAATTTACTGAAATGATAGAAATTTCAAAACATTGTATTTACCAAAATGTTTGCATTACACAACAATTCTCGTGAAAAATCATAAAATATTTTTAAATTCTAACTTTAAAATGCATTTTTGTGCACTTGAGGTTTCGTGAATATAAATTAACACTAAAAGAAATTAGTTAGCATCAAACTTTTCGACTCTAAGAAATACAATTTTTTAAGTAAAGAAAAATCCAAAAATTAAGTAAAATAAAAACCTAAAAACTTTACGAAAATGCATGTATTTTAGGTTTCCATCAAACTTATAAGTAAAGAAAAAACGTGAAAAATACGTAAAATAAAAACCTAAAAACTTAAAAAAAAAATACTTGGTAAAATGTATAGGCATTTATTCGTTAAAATACGTTTCCGCAGAAAACCAGACTTTAAATTAAAATCGCTCGGTAGGATAAATACGCAAAATACATAAATATACGCTTCTTTGCCAAAAAGTTGAGTATAAGAATTTTTACGTAAATATACATAAAAATACGTACACCTATATAGAGGCTTTAGTAATTTTTAGGTATATAATGTATAATATACATATAATATATAATATCTGCAGGGGGTCGAGGCAGCCCATGCCCCCCTCTAGTTGCAGCATGTAAAAGAGGCGGTGCTATGGAAACGCCTCAACACGGAAACGCCTCAACACGGAAACGCCTCAACACGGAAACGGACCCAAAAGTGAGCTTGGGTCCGTTTCCTTCTTTTTTCAAGAATTATCGGAAATCCCTCAAAAACTAAAAAGTGTAGAGGGATTTCCGGATATTTTGGGTCGGTTTCCGCTATATTTACATTTGATTCGTTTCCCGTTTTTTTTTGGGTCCGTTTCCTCTTTTTTTTGGGTCAGTTTCCGGTTTTCAGATAAAGTTTTAAACTCTCAGTTTGTTGATCGGTTTCCTCTTTTTTTGGGTCCGTTTCCTCATTTTTTTGGGTCCGTTTCCTCTTTTTTTGGGTCAGTTTCCGGTTTTCAGATAAAGTTTTAAACTCTCAGTTTGTTGATCGGTTTCCTCTTTTTTTGGGTCCGTTTCCTCTTTTTTTGGGTCCGTTTCCTCTTTTTTTGGGTCCGTTTCCGATTTTCAGAAAAAGTTGTAAATTCTCAGTTTGTTGATCGGTTTCCTCTTTTTTTGGGTCCGTTTCCTCTTTTACTAGGACGGACCCGACATATCTACTTGACTTTAATGCATTTAAAGATTCGATGTCGATTCTTGTAATAATTACAGCTTTGCTATCAATATTAAGGTTTTATTTAATTTTATCAGTTTCAAACATTTCCGGTTGCTTCGATCCCTCACAGCCTGTGTCAGAGATAAGAAAATTTAGTCATTTGCTCTATTGTAAGTATTGTGTAACATAGAGAAACTAAATATAGTTCTCAGCTGAGGTGTAAGAGTACAAGTTAGAAAGGTTTATAATTTTTCAGTTAAAAAAATGTCTAAAACTTTTGAATCGCCTGAGGCGGGGGATAGCGGTATTGTGATCGGCGGTTCCAGCTTCCCGGCCAATTGGCGAGATATCGCCGGATGGCGGGCTGACGGCGTTTCATTCTCGTCTCCATCAAACGAAGTATAATTTTGGGGGATTAATATTTTTCCAGAAACTTATTCCGAATTTAATGAATTTGAGCCGCGTCTGAAATCCGCTATATCATATTATTAGGATAAAATCATGCATGATAAGAATTTTAGCAGTTATACCAACATTAATTATAGAAACTAAATTATAATGAAATACTTTCGTGTCAACAACACTTAAATCTTTTTATCGTATCCAGGCTACAATCTCTTTTTATTAAGATATTTAAAGACTTAAAAGAGGGTGAAATAAAAAAAATAGTCTGGTGCAGGTATTTGTTTAAATTCTTTTATAAAACATCCTCTTGCTTCCCAAAAAATCCGTGAAACTTTATTCAGAAATGAAAGAATATGTTTAAATATTTTTTTGATTTAATTTATTTTAAGGCAGTTAAGCTCTACGATGCTCTCCTTCATCAAGCCATCTATCATTATCATGATCCTATGCTCGGGGGGTTCACAGGTAGGCAGGAAATATTTGGGTGGTAGGCAGTATAGCAGGAAATAGCTGTTTGTACACATAAAGTAGGACACATTTGGGGGGACAGGCAGCATGGCAGGAACTAGCTAAAGGTTAACATGTAGGCAGAAATATTTGTGTGGCAAGCAGCAAAGAGGAATAGTTATTAGTTAAACGGAAAGCAAATTGTCGGATTTAAATGCTTTGAATATTATAGGAACGAGTAAATCCATGTTGGCGGCGGATCCGGATTTTGCAATGGGAAACATATTCACCCTTGGAATGGATTGCTTTGGTAACTTCTTATACAAAATAATTTTTTTTATAATTTATTGCAGGATTCTTTAAATAAAAAAGGGGATACATATTTTAGGAATGAAATGAATAAAGCATTTTTCCAATTATTTCCTCATAAAACAGGGAAATGATATATTTAAAGAAAAAACCTGAAACAATTATTTAAGGTAAAATAAAACTGAAATATTAGCTATTTTATTCAGCAACAAGTCCACTGAAGAATGCAGAACCTAGAAAGAAACTGATTGATTTTTCTGCAAAAGCCAAGGTATTTATTTTGATGATTTTTTCTGGTTTCTTTTTTATTCGAACAATTTCTGAACTTTTTTGTCGTCTCTGGCTGAGGCTTAGGTAAAATGTTAAAGGTAAAAGGTCAAATTTTGCCCGTTTTTTATTTGATTCGATGTTTCTGTAAGTTGAAAATTTGAGAAAAAACACTGCAACGGATTTAGAAATAGACACGCTGCTTTGTGCAAAAAAGGCAGAGCAAAAGGGGTATTTATATGATTGATAAATCACCCCACCCACTCAGAAAACTTTTTTTTTTTTTTTTCTCCAGTATGTTAGAAATGTGTTTTGGATGTTGTAGCCATGAATTTGGGAAATCAAAGGATTTTATGGTGAAATTTATTTTACAAATATTTCTAGTTTATTTTTGCTAAAATCTTTGGAAACTACTCCCATCCCCGGCTCAGAATGGACGGAATATATTTTAGTGACGGAAAACTGACGGAATATATTCTAAAGTGACTAAAACTGACGGAATATAATAAATAGTAACGGAAACTGAATTAATATATTATATAGCAACGGAAGACTGAAAGAATATATTCTGGAGCAACGGAAAACTGACGGAATATATTTTAGAGTTACGGAAAACTGATGGAATATTTTAGATTGACGGAAAGCTGACGGAATATTTGTTAAAGGGACTAAAAGCTGACGAAATATATGTTAGTGACGGAAAACTGACGGAATATATTTTAAAATAACGGATAGTTGACGGAATTCATTATAGAGTAACAGAAAACTGACGGAATAAATATTAGAGTGACGGAAAGCTGTCGGAATATATATTAATGTGATGGAAAACTGATGGAATATATGTTAGTGACGAAAAGGTGACGGAATATATGTGAGAGTGACGGAAAACTGATGGAATATATTTTAGAGCGATGGAAAGCTGACGGAATATGAGCTGAATCATCTGATCGCGGCGGAACTAATGGCAGCGGAAGATTATTGGGGAGCTATGATCAAATTCGAGGAATTAGTTTATTTTTATTCAATATTTTTTTGTTCCAATATGATAAGTTTATTTAGGACTAAAAGGTTTTCTCCAAATCATCTTAAACAGTGTTTAAATTTTAATTAATCGAAAAAAAAACATTTTCATCAAAAACAAAAACAAATGTTTTCATCTTAAAAAAAGATAAACTAACTAAGTTTAGGAAATTTTGCGTCAATTTCCCCGAGATCCTTACGCACTCCAGATGGCGTACTTTCTGGCACTTACAATAGGAAAGATACGCTTACAAATTTTATAACGTACCTGTTTTTTTAATTTTGAATTTCTTAAATAAGTAATTAAATTTAATTTTTCAGCTTTATTTTTATATTTTTATTTCTACTGTTGCATCATCTTTACATTTTCACCTTAGTTAAACTGTAAGTTGCCTTCTGATGAAGGTGAGACAAAACGCTTGAAAGATATTCCCTCCTCTATAGTTGAGCATTATACTCCCAGTACTCCTTTCTACGGGTAGGTTTTTTATTTTTAATATCTCATTAGAGGGATTGTAACGTAATTTTAAGTGACATTCTTCATTTAAAGATTAAGCATGTCCTCAGAAACGATAAATGAATAAATGCGGTAGATATTATCGTATTTCAACCTTGTGTGGGACAAATTATGTCAATTTCCTTTGTTGTCTTGTTGCTTGGATCGACAAGTGACAAATTTGTGTACCCACTCACATCGAACTATCTGAGTAGTTCGTTGAACAAGCCATTATTTTTCCGAATAAATTAAATCTTTATTTGGGAGAATTTTTGCGAGTCACCCTAATTGTATCTTATGTCTTATCTTATAAAAAAACAAGAACATGTCAATTTTGCTAAGACAAGGGTTAAAAGGGTACTGTTGTTAGTCAGCCACATCCGTGATTGACGCGAGCGTATTTATTATTATGATGTCTATTGATTGAATTATTGTGGCTGAATTGGTGTAACTGGATTAATATATGGATTCATTGATTTAATGATTGATTGATTGGTTGGTTGATTGGTTGATTGATTGATTGGTTGAAGGCATGTGTTTGGCAAGCTCTGCTTCGGCCAGGGAGAGAACTGTGAATACGAGGCCGGGGAGATTAGTGGTAGGAAAGCTTTGGATCATTTCCCTCTTGACAACTGGGCGCATCACGCGCTTGCGCACAACTTTGAGGAATCAGGACGCGCACTTCAGGTACAGGGTTATAGTTCAATTATGTTCAAAATTTTATCAATACCTTATAAATAAAAATTTAACTGGCTGGCTGTAAGTAGAAACCTTTCCTGAAGCTTTTAATTATACATTAAAAGCTTGGGTATTGTATTTAATAAAAAAATATTTTTTTTCTGTATCTTTGTTCTTTAATTGGACAATAGTATTTCTTATTCAAATAATGTTTTAGGGTCGTTTGTTTTTAAGTAACACTGCTCGTGATTGGACCCAAGGAACAACCTTTTCCCACCATATTTGGTGGCACACCGCACTCTTCCACGTGCAACTGGGAGAATTCGACGCGGCACTTGATCTTTATGATGCAAGGATTGGACCTATGACTTTAAAAGGTGAATAAAAGAAAAATTTAAGAATTAAACATGAGAAAGTTTTATTTTACTCCATATTTTTCAAGATGGCGGAAATTTTCCCTTGTCGGATGGTTCATCTTTGCTCATGCGTCTTCATCTCGAGGTATAGAACAAAATTAGAAGTTAAGTTGGAAACAGAAACAACATCGCATTAATTGTTTTTTTTTTCTTCAAATTTTTCAAATCTTTAAGTTATGTACTAGGGAACACAGAACAAGGATGCCGATTATGAAATAAAAATTAAGGAATATATAAAAAAAATTGTAAAAAAAGAATTTGAACTTGTTTTTATCAATGATTCCAGAGGTGGAACTGGTGTACATTGTCTGGTGTCATAAGGTGCGGTGCAGGCTAACAAGTTTAATTAGAATGAAATCCTTAAATTTTAAAATCTTTCTAGGATAATATTATTTTCAACATTTCTCAGTTTTTACAAGAAAATTCCTCTTTCCTAATTTCCGAGTTGTGGGGCGGGGGGGCTACCCCCTCACCCTTAAGTGTATAATGTATATAGATTATGGTCTTTTAAAGTCTTAACAAAGAATTTTTCGTGTTAAGGGTGTAAACATAGGAGAAAGGGCTAGGGAGCAGGCAACAGCTTGGACAAATCATAATGATGATTTCGTCTCCTTGTTCTACGACGGACACAACGCCTTCATGAGCCTGTTGGCCGGGGATAGGATGGCCTGCACCACACTCATCAACAACATGCAGGAGTACATCAAGGGTGACAGGTAGCAATCGACGGGACTCATAAACCTAAACATTCTTTGGGTTTTCTCTCTTTTTTTGCACTTTTTACTTCGTACAATTTAGAATTTCATGAAATAAAATTATTTTTCCTTTTTTATTTAAAAATTGAAGAATCCATCTTTTAAGAGATTTTCAATTTATAAAGACGCAACAATTAATATTATGTAAAAATTGAAACTTAACTAATTTACAATATTTGATTTTGTTAATTTTTTAAAAATTAACAAAAAAAATAATAAATCTAAAAACTTGAGTTAATTTAGACCAGTTTAAAATAAGGATTTAATTGTAATTGCTATAAAAAAATGGGAAACTTGTAGTTAACAAAAGATTATTAAAATATTAAAGATCAAACAAATACTTTAAACAAATAACTCTAAACAGAATAAATTATAGACTTAACAATACACCTAACAAATTCATACGAAAACTATATTTCAGATAGAATTAAAGATCAGAAAAATTTAAAAATTTATTTAAATAAGCAACAACAAAAATCTTTACAAAATTTATTAATTTAGACAAGGATGGAACAAGGATGTGACAGCTCGTGTTGGTGTACCCCTGGTAGAGGGTATCACGCATTACATGGACGGAGAGTACAGTTCTGCAGTACAGACCCTGGCTCCCATCATGTCGGAGCTCCAGGGTTCTATCCAAGGGAGTAGAGCACAGAAGGATATTTATGCGCAAATTCTGCTCCATGCCGCAGCACGTTCAGGTATTAGACTTCAGGAACATATATTTTACTACAGAGCGTCCCCAGTGGCGTAAATAAGGGGGGTTATTGGGGTTACTTACCCCAATAAGGAAAAATGTAAAAAATTTTTTTTGTCGCTTCGCGCAGATAATATTACTCAATCAATTTTAACAAAGTAACATAGATAAATTTTACCCAAAAATCGAGTTTTTAATGTAGTAGTGTACTTGCACTATATGTCAAATTAAGAATCCTTATTTACGCTCCTGAGCGTCCCATATCATATTAGATTATCTCCAAGCTTTAACACCAAAATACGCACATAATACTCAAAAAACCTAGTATTTTCTGCAAGAAAAGTTTTCTTGTTTTTCTTCAAAGTTTGTTTAAGAGACTTAAACAAAAGGAATTTAAATTTACAACAAAAAAATTGTCTTTTCTAAGGGTAAAAGCAGGATTAATCAGATTCTCGATCACTTTGAATTTTATTTTAAGTTTTATTTCCTTGTTTTGTTTTCAACATTTTGCAAATTTATTTTCCAGTTTCAAATTCAGTTCTCTATTTCCAATAAGAAATATTTCTAAACAAAAAATTCATGGTTCATGCAAATACATAATTATTTTGTATCTTTTGCCACACACTTTATTACCATTAACTTACATAATAAATTTTAATACAGATTTAACCGAATTTACCATGTTTAGGAGTGAGTTCTGATCTCAATCTAGCGGAGGAAATATTAACTAACAAACTTAAGGAATCTAAACTAGAGAAACATACACCACTCAATCAAAGGTAGTTCAATATATTGATATATAAATATCTACATGATATATGCGTGTGAATACCTCAATATATTGATATATAAATGTCGAAATGGGGACTGGGCTCAATAGTTAGTGACACCTGACAATGCCCTTTACTTTAGTGTATAGGTTACCATTTTTCTTGTACAGTGTACACCCTATAGTGTTAGGCTTACCATTTTTCTTGAACACCCTGTACTGTGTCAGTTACCATTTTTCTTAACACTCTGTACTGTTAGGGTTACCAATTTTTCCTGGACACCCTGTAGTGTGTGAGTTAACATTTTTCTGTACTGTTAGGGTTACCAACCATTTTCCTTAACTACCGGTATAGTTTAATTGTTACAATTTTTCCTGAACACCCTGTACTATGAAAAAAAAGATAAGATAAGGATCTGAACCCCCCCCCCCCCATCTAGGAGAGCCCAGACCGCCATCGGAGCTAACTCCACTGAGCTGTGGTATAGTTTGTAGAAAAGTTAGATTTTAAAAAACAGCCAATAGAACTGGGAATCTGAAATTTTCTTTATTATTCACTAATAGAATTTATGTTTTGCAGATATAAAACCCGACTTTAGAAATTTGACAGCTCATAACATTGTTTAATTAAGTGGTAAAAACGGCATTATTTTTTTTTAGTAAGTGCCATAGTTGCACAGGTTATTTTTTCTAAATCCTCCCTTTACATTCTACAAAATATCATATTCGTCATTTATTATATTAGCCCCAGCTGCCTTTGTAACTCTTTGTATAGCTTTATTGCTTAAGATCCGGATCCGTTGGATCCGCACGATTTTGTCTTCTTGGATCGGGACCCGGATCTTAAGAGCAAAATAGATACCATCAACCATATCAACCAAAAACTGCAAAAAAAAAAATCTTACTCATGAAACCAAAATCTGAAAAGAGAGATTATACAATTTTTTGATCCCAAAATCTGAAATTTTTTGATCCCAAAATCTGAAATTTTTTGATCCCAAAATGGCTCATCAATCATCAAACATAAGATTAAGAGTCACTTTGGCTTAATTGTACTATTTGGGATTTATTAAATAGCGGGGTTATCTAAAATTTTGTTTCTTAAATGGACTGTAAGCGTTATTTCAAGTGAACCTCCAGGCAAAGATGGCAGTGCAAGATTAATAACGGTATCCTTGCAACCTGTAGTTGACCAATTATGTGGAAGATATTAATGCTGTATTTCTTAAAGTATTTAATTCTGGATAATTGAAAATAAACAGATTTTGAATTTTATAAACATTGAGATCCTATTAATAATTGATCAGACAAAGCTTTTATGGGTACCGTTGTGAATCGGGCATTGCCATCATTGCACGGAGTGTCAGTTGAAATTACGCTTACAGTCCTTTAATCGGAGACACTACACAAGTAATACGTAATACGTTAAGATATATCTAAATATGAGAGAGTGTTGGGGGGAGGAGGGTAATTTTCTCAATTATTTATTTCTATTGTTTAAAATAAAGTTTCCTCAAGCCCTCATTGTTCTCTCTCCTCACGTAGCAACGATTTGGAAGTCAAGGATAGTTTTGATAAATGCATCTTTACAAACTGTACAGGACAGGGTGGGCAGGAAAAATAGTATTTGTACAGTAGGTAGAGGGGTGTAAAGAAAAATGGTAACTTATACAGTAAAGGGTGTTAAGGAAATGGTAACTTATACAGTAAAGGGTGTTCAGGAAAAATGGTAAATTACACAATAAAGAGTGTTAAGTAAAATGGTAACTTACACAGTAAAGGGTGTTCAGGAAAAATGGTAACTTACATGGTAAAGGGTGTTCAGGAAAAATGGTAACTTATACAGTAAATTGTGTTAAGTAAAATGGTAACTTACACAGTAAAGGGTGTTCAGGAAAAATGGTAAATTACATGGTAAAGGGTGTTCAGGAAAAATGGTAACTTATACAGTAAAGAGTGTTAAGTAAAATGGTAACTTACACAGTAAAGGGTGTTCAGGAAAAATGGTAACTTACATGGTAAAGGGTGTTCAGAAAAAATGGTAACTTATACAGTAAAGGGTGTTAAGTAAAATGGTAACTTATACAGTAAAGAGTGTTAAGTAAAATGGTAACTTACACAGTAAAGGGTGTTCAGGAAAAGTGGTAACTTACATGGTAAAGGGTGTTCAGGAAAAATGGTAACTTACATGGTAAAGGGTGTTCAGGAAAATTATTTTCTTGATATTTCTTTTGAACATTGCAAAATGCACATTGCAAAATGCACATTGCACTTTGAGTACTGAACAGTTAAAAATAAAACCTGGGCTAAATCCTCAAATAAATTCCAATCCCCACACTCCCGAGGGCTCAGATACACAATTTGGATTTTTGTGAAACAAATAAAAATTTTAGTGAACGAACACCGATTGATCTTCTTCGTTTAAGGAGGCTTAATTGTTGTTTACAAAAATATCAATCCTTAAAACATTAGTTCTGAAAGAGTTATTCAGTATTCAAATTAGTTTTTATTAATTTTATAATTTCAGGTTCTATGAACGAATGATCGCTGTGCATCAGCATTAATCCTTCAAAAACATCGTCCAAAAATATCGTCCATGGTTGCTTATTCGTCCATTTATACTTCAAACCAACTGATCAGCGATGAAATGGATATATTTCTTTATAAAAATTAGCTTTGAAATGCTTAATTTATTGCAATGTCAATGCATGACTAATCGATAATTATTTAATGATAATTAAGTGACCTTTTTACAGTGAATATTTTCACAATTAACTTTTACAATGCATGTGCTTAAATTTACAAAATAGTGTATTCTTTTTCTCTTTGCCTTATTTCTTGAACATGATCCAACAATTTTTATTTTATTTCTTCTGGAATTATTTTTCTTTTTGTTGTTAATTTCAAGATCTGGCCTCCCCTCCCTCTGTAAATTCAAATTTTGACTCGAGGAGGTTTCCAACCACTCCATTATAACTTAGGATAGACATTTGCTCTTAAAGGGACTCTAAGCTCAATTCCAAGTAATCCTCCATGGAAAGATGACTATGTTTGATTCATTACAGTACCCTTACCAACTTTGTCTGATCAATTTTTATTGTCTATGACGATGAAAACTTAAAACTTACAATTGCAAGTTCTTTACAAAACTGACTTGTGAATTTCTACGGGAAGGAAAACATAAATGAATTATCAAAGTTGAACCCAGAAACAAAATTATCTTCAACATTATTGATCAGATAAAGAGATATATCCGTCACCGTTAACGGATAAAGGTATGTCTGTTACCTTTAGCGAATAAAGGTATGACTGTCACCGTTAACGGAAAAAGGTATTTCCGTCACCGTTAACGGATAATTGATTGTACAGTTGTTAATCAGACATTGTCATCTTTGCATGGAGGGTTACTAGAAATTACTCGTGCAGTCCCTTTGACACATTTGAAATCTTCATGTACAGGGTTACAAAAAAGTCGTAATCAACCCAAGTATTAATCCTAGGCAACCCCTATAAAGTTGGCCTGATATTAAATAGGTATTAAACAATACACCAGCAACAGATTGCGCTATTGGTCTCAACCCAATTCTAATTTTTACTCTTAAACAATTATAAAATCAAATGGTTTGTTTGGGCCTCCATCCTGGGTGGTATTTTCCAACTTGAGAATTCGAATATTAAAGCCCCCCCCCCCCTTCCTCCTTCCGGTTTGATAAATTAAGGTCCTAATGTATGTACAGGCAACATAGTAATTGTCGGCCTTAAAGAAACACGACCATATGTTTAAACACAAAACAAATTGTTGGTTTACTAATATCCTATACCAGGGATTGCCACCATGGGAATTTGAACAAGAGCAACTATTGATATACAATATCCTTCAAACATATAATATATAAACATAATACATCCTTCGTTCTCACATGAACATAATGCTTTCATGTCGACAATATCCTTAAATATAACATACACTTTTTGTTCTCACATGAACATAATGCTTTTATGTCGACAATAGCCTTCAAACATACATTTTTGAATTCATATTTATTACAATGTTTACAAACATTTTTAAGCGTTTTGTCGATGTTGAAAATACATTTAAAAATGTTGATTATGAATTTGCACATTGTCCAAAAAAGTCTTTCATGTGAATATATTTTATTCTCTTCTTAATTTGTGCTTATATCGGTATTAAGTGCCCAGAAGTAATGTTTAAAAGACCCTCCATTTATAAATTGGCATGTTCGATTCAAAATGGTATCCTTTAAACACCTTTCTCTTAAGGGTACCGTTGTTAATAGGACTTGTATTTTTTTATTGTTGGGTCACTAGAAATTACGTTTACTGTTCTATGTGATTATAATAACCAGTAATTAATCTACTTGGATCTTAACTAGGGTTTCCAGCAAAACGGAGAAATGATTTTTCGCTTTGTTGGCTAATGTTGCGTCAATCTGCTCGCAAAAAAATTTCGCGAAAAAGTTAAAAGTTAACAAAATACGTAACAAAATTTCCGCGAAATTTCGCGCAAGTTTTCGTTCGCTGGAAATCCTAAGCGATGTGATAATGTGATAATGTCTCATACCCCGGTGAAATCTATATGAAGTGATGTCCTTATTATTTTGTGCTTTTTCTGTGCTCTTTCCTTCCGTCTTAATTCTAAACCCTGATGTTGTCTTATCTTCACATCAAACTAATGTAAATTCTAAACCCTGATGTTGTCTTATCTTCACGTCAAACTAATGTAAATTCTAAACCTTGATGTTGTCTTATCTTCACGTCAAACTAATGTAAATTCTAAACCCTGATATTGTCTTATCTTCACGTCAAACTAATTTAAATTCTAAACCCTGGTGTTGTCTGATCTCCACGTCAAACAAATGTAATTTCAATACCCTGATGTTGTCTTATCTTCACGTCAAACTAATGTAAATTCTAAACCCTAATATTGTCTTATCTTCACGTCAAACTAATGTAAATTCTAAACCCTGATGTTGTCTTATCTCCACTTCAAACTAATTAAATTCTAAACCCTGATGTTGTCTTATCTCCACGTCAAACTAATGTTAATTCTAAACCCTGATGTTGTCTTATCTTCACGTCAAACTAATGTAAATTCTAAACCCTGATGGTGTCTTATCTTCACGTCAAACTAATGTAAAATTGAACGTAAGGTTGAAATCCTAAACGTTTTCGATCAAAACTCTTCTTTCTAAAGAGATATTGAGAAGAAGAAAAATGTTTTTAATTTCTAATCTGTAACTGGATAGATTGCTTTTCTCAAACTTGAGTGTAAAACAAGAGGAGATACCGAGGTTACAAAGTTGTGCCAGTTATGTCAAATAAATTTGACCGCTTCTTCCAGGCTAGGTTACAATGTCTTGCTCCAAAATGATCGTCTTATTTTTGTCTTCTGTCTTTTATTTGCCACGGATAATTAAAATCTCCATTTTCTTTATATCTTTTCATTGTACAATGTAATGAAGACCACTTTGAATTACTTTTACATTTCAATCTGGCTACGGTTCTGTGCATTTGTAAAAAATATATAATTTTGATAAAGTTAAGATTTATTTTTAGTTACATTATATACAAGTTGTTAGATAATGGAATACGTTATTTTACAACATTACAGACAAATTATAATATGTATTCAAATATTTACAAAAATTACACATTTATGGCGCCAAATATTGAGATAAATTGCGTATTTTTCTTACCGCAAAGTCAAGTCTAAGCTACTAACTGCACATGACCTGTATTTTATAGATGTATGGCAATGAAAAAGGAATCAAATCATTATATTTTATTTAAAAAGAGACAAATATTTGAGTTGAATCAATCAGGTGAGAACTAAGGAACTTTTTTTTCATTTTATTCCCTTTTGTTGTGCCACAAAAAGGACAGCTCAGGAACATCAGCGATAACCAGGAAAAAATGAAATAGGAAGACGACATTCTAGCAATGTTTTACCAGGATATTATTTATATCACTAATTTAGTGAAATGGGTCTGTTTACACTGCACATATGCTGTGTCTCATGCTCATTGGACTTTTTAAAGTTGATAACTTGATTCTAAAAGACATTTTTGGTTATCACTGTAATTTAATTGTATAGAATTATAGATTGGCCGGGCCTGGTCAACCACTGATCTGAGCTGCCCTAATTCGAAACAGAAGAAAGACGACAACCTCTATACTTAATAATTCGAGAGGCTGGGTGTCGTACAAATTAAGAGTTAATATTTTAGTGACAGTTTTTAGTTAAGAGTACGTAATATTTTTCAGCTGAGTAAAAATGTTTTCATGTTTAACAGTACAAATGTTTTCAAGTTTTGAGTACAAATGTTTTCAAGTTTAGAGTACAAAATGTTTTTCATGTCTAAGTACAAAATATTTTCAAGTTTAGAGCACAAAATGTTTTTCATGTTTTAAGTACAAAATATTTTTCAAGTTTAGAGTACAAAACATTTTAATAAATGATTCCTGGATGAATATCTTTAGCTTGTCTTCTAAACATAACGTTAGGATTGCTTCTCGAAGGTTGAGACTGAAATGGGAAACGAGAACTATTAAGGGCTTCTAGCGAGCTGTACATACCGTCCTTGTACAATCCTTGATGTTGGCCGGACATGTACTCTGAAAAAGACAGTTGATTAAAAATATTTAAAATTTTTAGATTCCTAAAAATATATTCGAAATTAAATTATTTCTCAGACCTCACTACCTTTTACGTCATGCATGAATAAAATAATAATAATTTTTTTTTGTATTTTTTGAACAAGGTTGCCAAATACCAAAAAAAAGATGAGAAAACTCTAGGGTTGGCAACCCTGTGTAAGCGTAAATTCATATGATCCTCCATGCAAAGATACCAATGCCCCATTCACAATGGTACCCGTAAATAGTACAATAGTACAATAGTACAAAAGTACCCGTAAAAGCTTTGTCTCAAGGGTGAAGTACATAGAAAAGTTTAAAGTTATGAAATCTTGTTTTTTTTCTATTTAGGTTTCTCTTATGGAGGGTCACACATTAAACAACGCTCACAGTTCCCTTTAAAATGTTATTATTCGTTCATTAAAATCCTTTAGTCTGTGCTCGTGCTCAATTGCTAACAATAAATTTTCCTCTTCACTAACTGAGAATTGTCAAATTAAACATGGTTGATGATTTTCTGGAAAATAATTGGTTAATTTCCCATATTTATCCTGATAAGAAGGAAGCCTGGAAGACGTGATATAATTAAAAATTAAATTTCAGATTTTCGACGATTTCTCTGAAAAAAAGAAGAAAGTTCTAGACGCATTTAAAAAAGAGATAATTTAAAATAATATTTATTTTAGTATTAAATTGTTTCAAATGCAGAAATTATGATAAATTCAGCCAAAAAGAAAATTCGACGGACCTTGATGTCTTTTCTTTCAGTATACGTTGTGATAAAGGATAGAGCTCCCAAGATTTAATATTTTAAGAAATCAAATTAATGTAGAAAACATTTTAGAAGATAGACAGCATAAAGGGACTGTAGACGTATTTACAAGTGACTCTCCATTTACAGATTAGCGTGTACGATTCACAACAATACCCTATACACCTTCATTACTCTGTAAATGTCGGGTCACTTGAAATACACTACACTAATTAGTTGTTTAAGATTTAAAATTCAGTGATGGTGATGGACCAAACCTCTGTAGAGTAAAAAAGTAGATGTTAGTTCCACATTTATTGAAAATATATTTCGGTCTGGGTTGACCCTCGTCAGTTCTTGAGATTGTTTCTTCACAAAGATTAAGAACAAGTTGAGAAAATAAAAATTAACTCTTATCATCGAAAATAAGTAGTCTTTTTCAATTATTAGTTTCTATAATCTCTCAAAATTCAAAGAGATTTTCTGCAGATTTTCTTGAATTTTTATTGAAAAGACGACATTTCGAGAATTTTTAGAATTCTGCAAACAAATTCACAGAAAATAAGAAATTCAATATAATGATGAAAACAATATAATTGATTTTAACATTAATTTAATGACAAATTTCTTTTCAGAAATATGTTCCTTAACATCTAATTAGTTTACTGTATAATTTTTTTCATTTTTCGTCGCCGTTATTTGATAATTTAAGAAAAAAACGATTCTGAAAAAGAACCCACCCAAATTCATGATTTTGAACGTCGACTTTGCACTCAAACTCATAAATTATACATAGTGGAACCGTTTTATATGTCTTAAATGAATCCTAAAAAATTTGTCCACAATACTGCATTCTCAGTTCAACCACCATACATTGCCGGTCACTCCCTTTAAGTCCCTGTGACTTTTGATGCAAGAAAATTATATAAAGTTCAAACAAACAAAATTTTTGAACGGTCATAAGAGGTAACTTAAAGTGACCCTCCATGCAGAGATGGCAATGCCCAATTTACAACGGTTTTATTCTGGTAAAAAAAGTGGAAGATTTTGTTGTTTTGCTGAATCATCAGTGTTTATAGTTCTGTGAGTCTCTTTATTGTTTCTAATGAACAAGAAGCGCGCAAGCTAATTTCGCGGAGAAACCGCAAATGAAATGAAAATAAAAAGTTTATAGAATTTCAAACAATGATGTCTAGTTCATACTTGATCAAACAAAGCTTTTATGGTATCGTTGTAAATCGGATATAGTCAACTTTGCGCGTGAGGTCACTTAAAATTACGCTTACAGTCCCTTTAAGCAAATAATACTTTGTCCCTTTAAGATAAAATGACAGATTTCCCAATGAGAAGTTGATGTTGAAATAGGTTGGGAGTTAATCGGTAATAAAACTTAATACCTTGAAATAATTATATCTCCTCATCACGTTAATTTCACGTCGTGAACCCCCCCACCTTTACCCCCCCCCCTCTACATCTTCTAGATTGGGAAGAGAATTTAGCGTAGGTTTATCATGCCTCGAGAATTTAGTCGAAATGTCAATGATGATTATAGCCTAAAATAATTAGAATATGAAAGAACCGGACCCACCTCCCCCCATTCGCTGTCGCATCCCTTAAAAGTTCCGGAAGAATTCCCCCTCCCCCCCCCTGTATGAGACATTGAAGACCCCCTCCCGATATCGGAACGGAATGTAAATTATGTCAAGATGTGACATTAGAAGGACAAACTACACCTTTATACTACTTGGTTTTAATATACAACATGAAAATTAAACATTTTTATTTTTTTCTTTATAATTTTATTGCATGCTGTAAAATTTCATATCATGCATTTTAAATCTTTTATTTTTGTTCTTCCGTGTACATTTCAAATTAATTTTTAAGCTTCTTTTCCTACTTTAAAACTAAAAATATTAAAATTAAAAATTTTACAGAGATTCCCATCCATATTATTGAAAACTATCAGAATGCGTCATCCTTAAATTACTTAAACTCTTTAAATACTAAAAAAATCTACATTTTTATACATTATTTTAAGAACCACTGTGTCATATATACCTTGCCCTGCTTATATATCGTTAGAAACGTTCTAGGTTTCTCTTTCTCACACTCTTCCCTGATTTTCACATGTTTACCCCCTCTTCTTAATTTCCCACACATCCAACACACCTTGCCTTTCTGCCAATTATAATTCTCTTTATAAAAATCATGATTCTGTTATTTAGTAGAAATCATTTTAGTTCAAATTACCCCAAAGGATACCCCCCCCTCTCTCTTCTGATCTCCTAGAGCTATAATTAATTTGAGAGTTTTTACTTATTTTTTCCTTACAGGGTGTCCTAATAAACATGGCAAATAAATGACAACTTCTATACCGTATTTATTTCATCATCCATGCGGTATTATTTCGTTAACATAATTTTGTAAAACATTTAACACCGAAATCTCGGGATTTCCTTAATGTGGTCTACATTTTGGAAAGTTCATTAATTATACTTTCGATCTTTTTTCGATGCACTTTTTGTCATTTATGAATTATCGGAAATCAAAAATGTTATTCAAGTCGTCTCTCAATTCTCATGTTTATTGGGGCACCCTGTAGTACATTTATTGCTTCTAGATATAAATACATGATAAATAACGAGTGTAATAAAGGAGAGGAAGTTGAGTAGGTCTTCTCTGGTTCCAGGATCCGATACCACTGATTCGCGGATTTCAAAATACTCGTTCGGGGATATCTTCAACTATAACACCATGTAGTAGTAATCTCTGTCTGTTGACATATTTGCGATAAATTTTGATTGGTAAACCATGGGAATGTTCTTAGCTTGATATTTAGATTCTAAATTTTCGCGAGATTCTAAATTGGGTGAGTTGACTTTTAAAGGGAAAAATAGCTTAAATCGTAATTTAAGACCAAGCGCGGGTAAACGGTGGGAGTAACTTTAACTATTAAGTAACCTGGGCAGCGCTGAATCTACAAGCTAGTTATTCATGTAAAGTTCTTTTTAAGATTGGTGTTAATATGCTTCATTGCCTAAACATGCATACTTCCCTTTATAACCTTCTTTTTCAAATGGCTTTTTAAATTATTTTCTTTTCATTTTTAAATCACATTAAATCTTGTCCTGAATTTATAAAATTTTATTCTTAATTTTATTTTAAATTTCTAAATTTTCAATGAAAGGGTTTTAAAATAATAATAATAATAATGAAAATAATAATAATTATAATAATAATAATAATAATAATAATAATTAAAATAATAATAATAATAATAATAATAATAATAATAATAAAATTCACCCCCTCTCACTATTTCATATGAATCTAAAACTTATAAAGGATGTAAGAATACGCATATATTTTAATTTATATTTTTCTTGCGGATTTAAAAAGGAGCAATGGAAAGAACAGAAAGGAGAGAAAGCTAGAATTTCGCATAAGATGATCTGCTGATTCTTTTCAACAAACCTAATTTTCCAATAATAGAAACTAAAATCCCACACAAAAAAAAACGAAAAATCAGGATCCTTGGAAAACTAAAAAGTTATCAAGCGTTGAAATCTCTGAAATCTACAAATGAATGGCTAAATAGAATGATTTTCTTTTCCAAACAAATATTTCTATATCATAAATTTTTAAGCAAAATATTTAACTATATTTCCCATGCAAACCATGCAATTCATGCAGCATTAAAAAAAAGTATAAATGCATATTAAACAAGTATGCATGCAAGTCTTGTACGCCATGCTATGTACAGTGAACACTGTAAAATGTACATGCGACATAACCTTCAAGCGGCTACCTTGGAATCCGCCAAATTTCTGTTATAAAACGCGGGAAAAGATTGACTAGGAGACTAGTAGTGGAAAGCAGAATTTTCCCACACACCTGGTGGTAGGCATCGGTTGCAGGACGGTAATCGTCTCGGAGATATGGTCGCTAGAATTTCTCGACTCCTTCCGCCTTCGTTCATTCTCCGTCGCGAAGATCTGACTGGATCTGACCGAGTGATCTGACTAAGCCGGCTTGGATCAGCTCGTGAAAGATCTCTCTGACTTGAAAATCTGGGAGCCTGCCGATGGTTTGGGCGCGCCAGGTCACCATGGGATGCACGAAAAAGCGGATGTCCGTAGAGATGCGAAGGACGGTCTCGTGGAGAACTACTGCGCATGCGTACATTGTTTGAATGCCTTTCCTCGCGCAGCAATCGATCATCTCTTAGAAATCTATTTCTTTCAAAGAAATCAGGATTAGCGTCTCTTCTTTGACGATCATCTCTTTCATGACGATCATGCTCATTTCTTCTATGACGATCATCTCTGCCAAAAGGTTCTTCTCGGTGGAATTGATCATCGACGACGAACTGATCATCGTCAGAGAGCTGATCATCGTGGTGAGTATGTTTGCTTCTCCGACTTGCTCGAGCTGAAGGTATTCCGAAAACTAGTTGAAAATAAATTGTTTAAATGGATTAAAAATTGAACATGAAGAGTTCTAAAAATATTAGTTTCTTCAATCTAAAAGAGTTAAAATTACCATTTCTCTTGTTGTCAGTAAAGTAACTGAACTAAACTCTAATTTTGTAATCCTTGTAATCATTTGTAATCTTTGCAACCTGATAGTCTAAAACTTTGTTATTTCAAACTTCAACTATTTAACCTAGCAAAGCTTAAGTTTAAATATCCAAGTTCTACGACATCAGGCAGCAAAGATATAGTGTTTATAAAATTATAAGTTGTGGCCAGTTCCTGTGTAAAGAAAGTTTGTATACATTTGTAGTTTATCCTTAGTTTGACCTAATTTTTTAGATTTTAATTTAATTTTAAGATGGCTTGTATTTTTTCCGGAACAATAAGCTTTAGCACAATGGAAATAAATTGATCGCCAAGTACTTTATAACACGATTTTAAAGCCTATATATTCTCACTAAATGATTAATGATGTTTTTGTTGGTGAAATTTTATCAAAATTATGGGAATATAAAAATAATGATGCGAGTCGAAAAAAATGTTATAGATATATATGTTTTGGTAAAAAAGGACAGAACGTATAAGATACAGGGTGTCTGCACGAAAATTGTCAATTGAGAGACGGCTTTAAGGTCGTCTTTAATCTTTGAAATAATTTGCGGCATTCATACTTTACAAGTTTAATTCTTAAAAACAATAATTATGAAATTCATCTAATTCTGGCATTTATAAAATGTGGTCTGCCCTTGTGTTATCTCAAAATTGCCTGAAAGGAATTGAGTTTTTGCCCCAATCTCTAATTGTCTGATTACTATATCTTGGCAACCTTATGGTGCAAACCTTTAATAAATCAATTCCAACTATTTGATCTAACAGATTATATAGCTTGATATATCAAAGATCTACAACATCGGGTTGCAAGGATATAGAATTAATTAGAAAATTAGAGTTTGTGGCTAAGACTCAGTTTCTTTGCCAAAGAATTACATGAGGTATTTTGTAATTTTTGTTTCAACAATTTTACTGGAAAAAATAAAGTAGCAAACAATAAAAAAATATATAATTTTCAAGTCGTCTTTGAACGGTCCATGTTTCTTGAGACACCCTGTATTTTCTAAAATAAGCTTTAATAAGATTATTAAAGTTAATCCAAATAATAATCTATTTCAAGAATGAATTTAATAAAAAGGGTATTTTCTCCATATGTTAGTTCAATACAACCCCCTCTCCTGCTACACTTCCTAATGACCAAAATAATGTATAATGTTCCCCTGTGGCCGCCGCTTCCAGCAAAATATAGAAAATTGAAAAATTTCCCCTGCACTTGTTAAATTTTTGCATTCTGCGAATATTTAATTATAAAAGAAACCAAAAATAATGCAATAAATACTAAACAGATAAAGGAAGAAACTTTAAACTACCACATAGAGGGAAAAGAAAATCTTTTACCTTTTTAATTATAGATCTTACAAAAATTATGTCTAAAAATGAGATTTTTCGTAACAATTTTCAAATATTGTTTCTTGAAGTTAAAGGAATCAAGGATGTTGTCCCGAAACACAATCGTAATTATTATTATTATGGCCGAAAATTATTTTCATATTTTCTACCCAATCTATAATTATCTAACATCTAATGCATCAGTATTCAGAAATGCAATAGAGGACACATTTATACTCTCTTTGTAAGCGCTAAATTTAGTATAAGAGTTGTGCAAAGCTATGCTGTGATTTGTGAATATAAAAGTATAATGTTATGTTGTGCCAAAATAGTGATTTCTATATTTAAGTTTCAAGACTAAACTTTTCTTTGTGCTTTTTTAATTTTGTTTATTTACATGTTTCTTTCTTAAACAATAGATTTTAAATTATATTATGAAAATGAAACTTGAAGTAAACTTGAAATTTCTCTAAAATTCCAGTTTAACGATTACATTATAACTGTTCAGTTACTTCATAAAATCTTAAAAGACTCATATTTCTACAAAATGAGAACAAAAAACTGAGATTTTTGAATTATTAAGGCTTATTAAATTTGTGGAATATAACATGATGTAAAACGCTAAAAATTGGAATTAGTTCTTTAATGTTTAAACAAGGACTGAATTTAATAAATTCATAGGTCTTTAGAGACGGTTCAACCACGGCGATAGATAGTTCAGTGACCGTAGGTAGCTCATCGACCTAGCTCAAATTCATTAAATTCGGTCCCTGAGATCAAATTCTATTTTTTTTTATAAAATGTTGGCCATCCTATAAATTGATCTGTTTTTTTAACATTTACGGTTTTTTATCTTTCATGAAGATCTACAAAAAAAATCTACGAAGCCTGACATATTTAGAAATCTTATATTGATTACAAGTTTCCTTTTGTTGCAAAGATTTTACTCTTAATCTGCGAAAGACAACTATGTTTGTTAACAAACGGATTAAAACCCCGTCTATAGCCCAAGCAACCTGCCAAGGTTGACTTTAATTCGTAGAACATATGGCAAAAGGATGAAAAACAAATATCATCTTATCCTAGAATAAAAACTGTACACAATGTGAACCTGACCAAATGGCAAAAATGGAAAAAGGTTAATTTTGTAATGATGTTATGTGCGGTTGTTATGAATTGAGGAAAGTGGCGGGAAAAATCACGAATCCTATATCGTACAGGTAAGACTCAGAAAATCCGGAAAATGTATAAAAATCAAGCTTTACTGTACTGCAATTTAGTGTTTAGAGGATTTGAGATTTTAACATTTTGAAATGTCGAAAACTTTGTAAGATAAACTTTTTGAATATCTTTTTCTGTCCATAATTCTAATACTTTAAGTTATAGATTACTTCTAGATCTAGGCTGCAATATAAATCATTGGCAAAATAAATTGATTCATATAGATAGATTTAATAGATCTATGATGCATGAAGAGTTACAGAAAATGTTGAATTAAACAAAAGAAAAGAGAAATGAAGCTTTACCAAATAAGAAAATGTATAAAGAAATAAGTTTAAGAAGAAAATTGAAAACGAGAAGAAGGCAATTGAAGAAAAAAAAAAAACTTACTTTGAAGATGTCTATGGGAGGAGGTAGGTGTATCCAACCTTTGCCTTTCTTTCGACTCTTCTCTTTCCATCCTTTCTATCCTTTCCATCCTCTCCTTTCTTTCAATCCTTTCATCCAGTCCTGCCAACTTTCCAGGTTTTACAGGAAAGAATGAGGGACTTGGTGTACCAGAACTTCCGGTTGAACCTGTCCCACTTCCGGTGTACACATCCGTACGATCCTCTGCGTACAGCCCCTCCTTCCCCATAGCTGAGAGTTGGCGCCCCTTGGGCATGTACATGATGACAAACGTGATGGAGGCGCATGCGATCATCCCACAGGCAGCGCACACATCCTAGGGTATAATTTTAATCAGAATTTTTTTAATAAAAAATGTCATATGTTTGTTAAACTGTCATGGATAACCCTGGGCTTATTTATTTAACCGGAACTAATAGTAGACTAGGATTTAAACAGATTCTAGGGGAACAGATTTCCGTCAGGAGATATGTAAAGAATACTTTAATCATAGGTCAGAATCTATGAGGTTTCACTAGATATATTAAATGCACGGTTTTTAACATACATTTAAAAAAGTATTTTCAAAAACTTAAAGACATGAATATATGTATAAACTAAAGCAATTATTTAAAAAAATCAAGTACTCGATGAAAATTTACTGAGAGAGATAAAAAATTCTAAATTTTTGTTATGAAAATAAGGTTTCCGAGAGAAAATTCGTGCATAAATGATTCCCTGCAGCTTTTTTTATTAAAAAAGCAACGTTTTGATGATATTTCAGAGTTTTAAATCATAATTAAAGTTTCATCCTGAATGGGAAAAAATCAATCGTATTTTGGCTTTGAAGAAGATTTATTGTGTATTTTGGCTTTGAAGAAGATGTATTGTGTATTTTGGCTTTGAAGAAGATGTATTGTGTATTTTGGCTGTGAAGAAGCCGTATTGTGTATTTTGGCTGTGAAGAAGCTGTATTGTGTATTTTGGCTGTGAAGAAGCTGTATTGTGTATTTTACAGCACAGACAAACAAAAAGATTGACAAGATTGATATCATTCGGCATAAATTAGAAAAGAAAATTCATCAACACTATAATTTAATAAGGCATGGCTTTGTTCTCACCGTGCATAATTGCATAATTAAGATAAAACTGTTATAAAACACCAAAACGTATTTTTTTCTCTTCCTCATAGAAAATTGACTTAAAATTTTTTTTCTTTTTATTTCATATATCACCCGAAACAAAAACAAAACAGATTGTATTGGCTTTTATCATATTTATCAATACTTGAACACGATTTCAAAGTATGGATGATGAAACAGGGGCGTACACAGGGGTTGTGACACCCTGGATGAGCAAAATTATTGTTTCCTGTGGGGGGGTGGACACCCAATTAAAGCCCTCTCTTTTCCCAATGAACAAAGAACTTGAGTCTTTGCCACAAACTCTGATTTTTAATCCCTATAACTTTGCAACTTAATGTCGTGAATATTAGATATTTTAAACAATGAATTTTGTTAGATAAAATAATCAAAATTCGAAATTTGGTTTATAGCATCAGGTTGCAAAGATGACAACTCTGTAATTTCCTTTCTGTAAATATTTTTAAGAGTGCAGGGGAAGGCTTGTATTTCTCTTTTTCAATATTAAACATAGTAATCAGTGTTAAGTTATTGCCATGCAAACAAATTTTGCAAAAAACAAACTTTTCTGTTTTTTTTTATCTCATCAAAGTTGAAACAAAGAAAGCTATCGTGGTAAAATTATTACTCATTTTCACGGCTCATCGCAATTTTAATATTCATTGATTAATAATAATTTAATTTGATATGTTGAATCTTTGATAATGTCAATCAATGAAGATTTCTCTTCCTTTTTCAGTAAAGATAATTTTTTTAAAGTTTAATTTTTTCTCAATGAAATTCCTTAATACAGGACAAAAACTTGATAATTAACTTCTTAATAAATTAAAGAAGAAATCATAATCTTAGAAATGGAGCGCAAATGCCTTCGTTTCCCTCTCCGTCTAATTTTCCCCAATTGTCTGAAAATTCGCATCACAAGATCATGTGTTTATACAGGGGCGGGCGGGCCCCCTGGCCCCCCTGAGGGGGGGCACCCATATAATAAATACTTTAAAATCTCACTTTTGCCCTGAACTAAAAAAGTTTCATTAAAAAAAATTTAATCAATACCGTGTAAATCAGTGTAAATATATCTTTGATATCATTATTTATAATTATACAATATGTATCGTTCCTATGAAACATTTAAGAAGCTTACACCACGATATTAATTTATTAACACTTGTTATATGGAAGTGTGTATATGATCGAATAGTTTAAATGGTTAAAAAAAGGCATCAATATTTAAAAAAAGGTTTTTAAGGGGGAGCCTAAAAAATTTTACAACTCCCCTATACAAATGCTCTCGTCTGGTGTCTACCAATTAATTTTTAGATTTGTTTTTGGAACATACCGTGCCAATTTTTAGATGCCACTTCAGAAAATACATTGTTGTAAAAATCTGATGATTAAAATAAATTAATAATGAATTTGTATGAGAAGAAAACAAAGAGTGAAACACAAAGAGAATATGGAAATTTAATTAACACCTGGCTTTCATTTTAAACAAGGATTTTATTTAGACAAATAACCACGTCCTCCCCCCTTCTCTTATAAAAACAAAGGCTTCCCTCCCTCCAGAAAATGATGTTAAAACTTCAGCGAGATTATAAAGGGTGTAGCTATAAAAACCACACAAGATGATAAACCTCAAAATTAACCAATAACATTAAATAGAAGATTGCCAAAAATCCAATAAATGTTAAGAACAGGATCTTAAAAGACTAATGGATGGAAAGGCTGAAAAGGAGATTTTTAACTCCAGGCTGTATGTAGTCTTCCAACCATCAAATTGGCAAATGATTGGCTTTGAGAACTTTCATGGCTGCCTTATAGAGAAAGCATTTAATGATAAGCAAATTAAAAAAAAAGTGATTAACACTGAATAAAGGTACATGTTTAATCTTTGAATTTACCATTATTAGCCTCAATAAATAAAAATTTGCATTTTGAGTCGTTTTTTCAGTAACACCCTTTATTACTTAAAATGAATTAAATATCCGGTTTATTTTAAACTTGACCTCAATTCTAGATTTGAAAACTTTAAAGCGTATTCACTTTTCATTTCAAGATTTTTTACTGTACTGCACTAAACTGTAATGTAGAATCCTAAACTTAACTGTTATGTACGTAATGTACTCTAAAGTACTTTACTGTAGATGTTTCTTTAAGCCATGCAACTATCCAAACTATAATACTGTACTGTAGTGCACTGTTCTGTGCTGCACTATATAGTGTATTGTACTATACTCAACTTTACTGTGCTGCAATGTACTGTATAGTGTACTGTACTGTACTATACTATAAAGGGAACTATACCTGACACTGTGTAGGTAATATATAAGACCTGAAACTATCCAAACTATCGTACCGTACTGTACAGTACTGACGTGTACTGTACTGCAATATATAATGTAGTGTACCTGATACTGTGTAGGAGTCCTGCAACTATCCAAACTACCGTCCTATATTGTACTGCAGTGTACTATATAGTGTACTGTACCTGATACTGTGTAGGTACTATAAGCCCTGCAACTATCCAAACTACCGTCCTATTATGTACGGCAGGGTACTATATAGTGTACTGTACCTGATAATGTGTAGGTACTATAAGCCCTGCAACTATCCAAACTACCGTCCTATAATTGACAAGATTGATATCATTCGGCATAAATTAGAAAAGAAAATTTATCAACACTATAATTTAATAAGGCACCGAGCAATCTACAAATAAAGGATTGTAGTATATTCTTTATCTATGTGTAATGCTATCTATGTTATCTATGCTAGTAATATATTTATCTTAATTATCTGTATGTTGACCCTGCCGGGCTAGCCCGGTCAGTTTCGTTCACCTGTATATAAAATAAATTAGTTCACTGAGATTCGTCGTTTAACACAAACGTATACATAGCCTTGCGTTTAGGCTAGGGATAGAGAGCCAGTAGTTTGGCGAGAGATAGAGTCATTTAGATTCTAATTAGACTTTAAGTGGAGTTATCATTACGTTATCTCGGATCTAGATATCTTACAGGATCACTCAATATTAAAAACGTGGACAATCCCTTAAATTTAACTTAAAGGGACTGTAAGCATAATTTCAAGCGACCCTTCATGCAAAGATAGCATGGATGTCCGATTTAAAACGGCACCCTTGAAACCTTAATCTGATCAAAAATGTGGAAGATACCGTCGTTTTTTTTTTAACTCGAAAAGTGCTTACTTCTATGAGTTTCTTATAAACAAGGAATGCAAATAAAAATAAATAATTTAAAGAAACAAAAACGTTTAAATGGAATTCATACAGGGTGTCCTAATAAACATGGGAATTCAGTGACGAATTCGATATGTTTTGACTGCATACGGTTGTACTTAGTAAAACAAGAAAATTGCAGAATACAAACTGAGGAAACTTGTCCGTCTTTGCTGTTAATCTTGCGGAGACATTATAGCTACATCTTTACAGTCTTTTATCCTTTTTATGAAATAAACTCTAGAAGACATAATAATATTATGGCTTTTAAAATTAGGTATTACAATGCTAATTCATAACAAAGACGATATCTGCAATTCGTCACTGAATTCCCATGTTTTTTGGGACACCCTGTATTTGATCAGTAAAGTTTTCTAGGGTACCGTTGTAAATCGGGCATCGCCATATTTGCATGAAAGGTCACTTGGAATTACGCTTACAGTCCCTTTAATACCTGTAATTCTCTCTGACACTCCTAGACTTGAACGCCAGGAGAACAACAACGACAATTAGGAAGACGACATAGAGCAGGCCAAGAAGCTGCTGATGGAAGAGGGTGGAGCAGGCCTGATGAATCACTCCCTCCCCTACCTCCAGATCTAGAATAGAGGGCGGAGCGGAGACTAACCACTGGATCCCAATAACGAGCTGTATGAGGATCGCGAAGCAGAGGAGAAGGGATTGGTAGGTGGCAGGCAGGTATACACCAGAGTTCAAGGAGACAAGGAACACCAGCTTTACCAGCAGGGTAGAGTATACGATACAGTAGGAGAACCCTGTTCCAAACCTAGATCATTATCATCATTAACATCATTATCATCATTATCATCATTATCATAATTATCATCATTATCATCATTATCATTATTATCATCATTATCATCATTATCATCATTATCATCATTATCATCATTATCATCATTATCATCAATTTCTTTCATATATTCATCATTATCATTGTTATCGACATTATCATTAATTTCATCTTTATTTTCATTATTTTCATCATTAATATCATCACTGTCACCAATTACAACATAATAATCATTAAACCTATAGTGATAATATGCATTTTTTATTCTTATTATCATCAATCAACATTTCCAAAATATCGTCAATATTATCATCATTATTGTTAGCATTATCAAAAATTGAAACTTCATCATCAAATTAGTTTTATAGCAACAAAACCTGATAACAGCACATGTTATAGTTGTTGGTTTAAGAGTGAAGACGACAGACATCCCCGCCAAGGAGAATAGTCCAAGCAACAGCATCTGTCCTAGGAACAAGTGTCTTCTGCTGGGGTTCTTGTTCACTGCCTTTGCCAGGAGGAAGATCTCGAAGATGACGAGAATAAGGATGACGGTGGCGGCGGCAACAATGACAGGAATGGCCCAAACCTCAGTGCGGAAGTGTCGAAGAAGTTCTTCATATGAGTTTAGAGTTGAGACACTCGAAATCTCTGGGATTACTGAACCGTTGAGATGAGATCCATTCTCACATTCAAGGATACTCTTCTCACATAGATCCTTGGTCTTAGTCCCAGGACTGGTTGGGGTTTCAAGAGTTGAGGTTTTAATTCTTCCTTTTACCTTTCTTAGGACCAGGCCAGGCTTTCCGGTCACATATTCCAATCCGGGGTCAGGACTGGTCACTGAATTCACCTCGGGATAGCTGAGACTGAAGTACTTTGTGTCAAGAACAATCTCTTTCTGTGCCGTTGAAGCATCGACTCTTGTGGACCAGTCACCAGAGGACGATCTTTTAGGCACCAATGCTTCCACCCCCTGATCCATCCGTCGGTTGTCCGAAGGTGCAAATTCTTTAAAATCTTGAATATTCGGATTAAAATCCTGGCTGGCTGGCAGGGGTGGAGGGAGTTTTGTCAGATAAATCTCCGGCTCAGGTTTAAGCAGGATTGGTCGCGGATTTCCAGGGTATGTCGTCTCCGGAAAATAAGATGGTTCCTCTGATGGCGGAGGAATTTTAACCGATCCCTCCTCCAATCTTTTTTTCTCCTCCGACACTGGTCTTAGCCGACCGTTGATGAGAGTTAATGGTCCTCGTTCTAAACTGAACCCGGAGTTATCCATCCTAATTCCTCCTGGATGGAACCCTTGTCTTCTAAGTCCCCTTGGGACTCCTTGCTCCCAGGTTTCATAATCCTGTCCCTGAGCTGGCAGGGATAAAAGAATAATCAGGTACACCAAGAGTACGAAATGACAAGAAGAAAATGGAGTATTGCACAATTTTGATTTCAGTGTCACTAATCTAACTTTATTTTGTGGGAATGTTTGGGGCAGAATTTGCACATAGTGTTTATTACAAGGTGACACTTTGTGTGTGATGCCTGATGCTGTGGATTTATTGCAACTTCCCACCTGGGATTTATTGCAACTTCCCACCTGAGATTTAATTGTATCACTCCATCTGCTGATCATAGGATGAGAATTACAAGTGCAAGGTCGGAACTCGATCTCGTGAGTCCTCTCAGTAACATTTTCATGATTTACTTTTTCTCTCCCGTCCATCATTTTTATTCAGGACGCATTTCGCGCGTTTTCCGTGAAAAAAGCGTCGTGGTCACTGCCGGCGTTGGAGTCACTATTTGCATGAACGCGCCGATGGCGTTTGGATTAGAACTTCCGGAGAATGCAAACAATAGATGTCAATAACTCAATAACCGTGCACAAATCTATTTCCAGTACAATTAATAAACAGCCCAGGGGGGACAGGGAGGTTTATTTTTCACAACATACTTCCTTCAAAGTTTCTTCCGCATATACAGTAGGAAAATATGGAGGAACACCGGACAGGAAGAGTTTCCTCTACAGATCTGAAAAAAACTAATATTTAATAAAGTAACTTCATACATTTATAATTAAATAAAATAAAATAAAATCTTGTTTGAAAAACAAACTTAAACGATCAATTGAACAGTATCGTAAATCTAAAAATGCATTTTTCATACGATTACGGTTTAGTCTTTAATAAGATAAGATATTTACAGTGAGACCCAAAAAGCCAATGACGTGTGAGACGATATTAAAGCAATCTTATACAGAGTTACCCACAAAGGATGAGACTGTAAAAGCGACCCAAAACTCTAAAAATATGACGATTTAAATCTTGATTTTTGGTTTCTGTATTCAATTGAGTATTTTGATGGTTTACTAAATAATTAAGCACAGAAGTAAGCCAGCTTCGATATGCAAAAAAAGGACAAAAACAAATTCCATACAGTCGTCTCTGAAGTCTCATCCTTTGTGGGTAACCCTGTATGTATTTGATGCAGTTGTTATGAAGCAAATAGTTTTTCCATATAGTTTGAAAATAAACTTGTTAAGTGAGTGTACTGTGTACAATTATTGTTTGTAAAATCATAACTTTTATCTCACAGTCGTCTTCCTATTCCACATTTTTACAGGTCTTACTGTATTCACCAGCTGGTGAGATATAAAATGTGATACAAATAGGGTTTAAACCTTTTTTTAATGTTGAAAACTTAGAAGATGCCAAAAATTAGGGTTTCTAATAGTTTCTCCATATATAAATTTTCAACAATTTAATTAGATGTTTTTGCTTCAGTTTAAATTCCAAATGTGGCCTAAGTAAGATTTTTGACAGATCACCCTGTTTTTCCTTCCTTTAGCCTTCAATCACTGCAGTTTTTCCGCATGTTCGGGAATTAGCCTTAATTTTGTGACCACACTGTTCTTAAATACACTATTATCCCCTTACCGAACCCAGCAAAGGTGGAGGGGGGGGGATTCTAGTGCGTGTCCCCCCCCCCATATTTCTCCATAAATAGATTCTTACCCTCCCCTCTCAAACAGTTGCAGGTCATTAAAGCCAAATTGAGTCTAATTTGAATGCATTATTTAAGCATAATGCACTGTACACAAAACATTGAAATTTTTCAGATTTTAACCAGCTTTATTTTCTCTACCAGCCACACTCATACATAATCATACCAAAAAATACGTAATAGAGTTAAAATAATATTTTAAAGATTTATTTGTTCTTAAAGGGACTGATAGCGTAATTTCAAGTGACCCTCTTTGCAAAGATGACAATGTCCGATTTAAAACCTGATATAGTATAAATTAGATATAAATGTTTTCGTTTCTTTAAATTGTTTATTTTCATTTGAGAAAGTAAAAAACGACTGTATCTTCCACATTTTTGATCAGATTAATGTGTCAAGGGTACCGTTGTAAATCGGACATTGCCATCTTTGCATTCAAGGGGCACTTCAAATTACTATTACAGTCCCTTTAACGCAATAAAACTATGAGAATTTGAAAATCCTTAAAAATTTTTTATTTTGATTGCAACATTCTTAACTTAATGAAATCAATTAAGGTTAAATGGATTGTTTGGATTTTCTAAAACCTTTCCTGATTTCTTAACCGTACTACAGTCCAGGGAGATGTATATAAATACTTTTTAAATGGTTTGTCTAAAAATTTATTTTCAACTGCCTCTAGTTTCAGTAATTTGAGGACACCCTGCATCAGTGTATCATTGCAAGCACTGTATCACGTATATCCAGGCTGCTATGAAATGTTGCATCAATTATTAAGACTGGGTCGACTTTTTAGTGTCCCAACGCAATGTTTTTTGGTTTTACCTCACTAACTTACTTATACTTTTATGTAGCTCTAGACATGTACATTTCAGAACTTTCAGGCACTTGGTTTAGCTTTAGTTTCATAGAAGTAAGTGGCAATGCATTCTGGTACACCTTTTGAATACATAATTCTTATCCAAACATTTTGTATAGATTCTGGTATTTCCTAGACTTATATTCTGGTATTCCCTAGATTTATATTCTGGTATTCCCTAGACTTATATTCTGGTATTCCCTAGACTTATATTCTGATATTCCCTAGACTTATATTCTGGTATTCCTATAGACTTATATTCTGGTATTCCCTAGACTTATATTCTGATATTCCCTAGACTCATATTCTGGTATTCCCTAGACTTATATTTTGGTATTCCCTAGACTTATATTCTGGTATGTCTATCTGGTTTTAATTTTTGTACGCCCTTAAGTGGCTTAAATATTCTGGTATATCTGATATAGACATATATTCATATCTCCAGATAAGTCCTATATATTCTGCTGAATATTATATATAATTTCTGCCCCCCCCCCCACTGTGTTTATAGCTTAATGCTGGAGCCTACAGGACTCTGTGACCCGTGTAAGCACAGAGAGCAATTAAACAGAATGACATTTTCTCCCGGGAGCAAGCCCTTAAACCTTTAAGCCTTTATTTCTCATTTATACTTTTAATCAATTAAACCTTTAGACCTTTATTTGTCCTTTATACTTTTAACTTTTTAAGCATTTAAACCTTTAGAATTTTAGACCTCATATTAACATTTATACCTTTAAACCTACAACCTTTAGATATTTAAACCTACAACTTTTAGACCTTTAAACCTGTAAACTTTTTATTCTCTATGCTATTAAGCATTTTATCATAATTTTACCTTTAAACCTATGTAACTTTTAGACCTTTGAACCTACAACCTTAAGACCTTTAAAACCTTAAAACCTTTACTTATCCTTTAAAATTTTAACCCTAATAACTCTAAAACCTGCAAACCTGAAACCTCAAAACGTGTAATCCTTAAACCTGCAAACCTAAAACCTTTGAACCTGCAAATCTTAAAAAATTAGACTTTATCTCCTTTAAACGTGTGAACTCTCGCAGAATTATTTAATATATTTCTCTGGCAAACCAGCTACAGCTGTAGGTCAAGAATGAAGGTATATAACGTATTATGTCTAGAGATTCCAACGCCTTGGGCAATTCTCAATACAATTTCTCTTGTACAGTTAGATACCCTTATATAAATACATACACACTCACGCTAGCCAATACTAAACATATCTGTAAAAAATATATTTACCCAATTTATTTTTTATTTTTCCAGTTTTGATTTTACGTCGAAGATAAGGCAAATGCGTACTTATTTGGTTATATATTATATTAAAAATCCAATTTTTTCTTTCTCGCCAGTTCTTCAGAAAAATGAGCAATGATTGAAAACGTTTAGGATTTCAATCAAACGTGAAATTTATTAATTTTGAAGTGCTCCTTTAAACTTTTAAGATGATTAAAGGTGTATAAGTGTTAGATAAAAATAGAAAATATGACAGATGGCTTCGTTGATACTACAGGGTGTCCCACATCATATTAGACCGTCAACGGGTCTAAATTGCGATTTTCGGGACTAATAAGAAAATTTAATTCGAATAAATCATTTTGAAAAATAATATAAGGCTTAAATAAGAATTTTCTTGCGGAAAATGATAAGTTCTTCGAGTATTAAGGGTTTATTTTGTCGTTAAAGATTAGAGATAATCTAATATGATATGGGACGCGCGCTCTGTACGTTCACGAGATATTGATAGATAGATAGATGTGATAGATGGATAGATATGATCTGATATGTGAATGTGATAGATGGATAGATTGAATAATATAATAGAGGTATTTAATACAAGCTTTGGAACCCAGCGCTGCCCAGGTTAATCATAGTTTCTCCTGCCGTTTACACGCACTTGGTTTTTTAAAAAAATATATAAACTGTCTAAACAAATAAATTTTGCATTTTTTTGAAGAACGAATGTAAAAGGTTGATTATAAATAGAGAGATTTAAAAACTATTTAAAATACAAATAAACATTTAAGAGATTCTTCATTTATAGAGTGACATGATTGATTCACAACTGTACCCGTAAAAGCTTGGTATTATCAAGAGTTAGAAACAATTTTTAGACTAGAAGAACAATCGACGATATCTTCCACATTATTCCAAATTTCAGACCCAAATATTCAAAAGAAAAAAGAAAACTAAGATCCAGTAATCAGGATAAACAGTAAGGAATATTCATAAAAGGATTATCTTTTATGTTTGAAACTCAAATTTTCTAATACCTATAATCGTTGCAACCTGATGATGTAAATTTTGATATTTTCAAATAAGATTATTCCATCTAACAGGTTACAGAATTCATAGTTTTAAATATCTCAGGTTTACGATATTGGGCTGCAAAGATAGGGATTAGAAAATCAGAGTTTGTGACAAAGACCAAATTCCTTTTAGAGATTTAATATTAGGAAAGTTATATCGAGTAGATAAAAAGCCGAGTAATGTGTTATAGGAAATACTAAGAAAATCAATGTATAACAACTTGGGTTAGGAAGTATAAATAATTGTAAATCATTGGAGTAAAGATAAACAAAAGGAATGTTAATTTTTACAAAAAAATAGTGTTAGGAGGAAAGAAGGAATATTGAAAGAATGGTTCATTGTCTCGTTCTAATTAGGCAATTAAGGTCGGAATTAGGACTAAATGAAAATTCAACTTTTTAGAACAAATTAGGATGGATTTTAAGTTTTGTTTAGAATTTAGTAGAACTAGTAGATGTCACACACTGAAAACCATTGAGGTGTGAACATACATCCTGTCTTTCAATCAAGAATCATTTAGAAAATATCTATATTACGCAAAATCTGCAATATTTTTCAAAATTAATCAAACATTTTATGGAAATTAGATTTTCAGGATAAACTTCCAATTCCTAATTATTTCACCTATTTCTAAACTACCTGAACTCTAGTGTGCACTGGTTTGAGATAAGAGCGCGAGTGCGTCTGGTTCACATATTTCAGATTTCACTCTGCGCACTACAACTGTTCATCGACAACTGGTGGATTTCCAACGCGCTCCTAAGCACAACATATCACACATACGTAAATACTCGATTAATTTTAATTGACGTTTAAAATACTATTTAAAATATAAAACAAAAGAAATTTTAGATGAATTATAAGAAATAAAGGTCCATTTATTGAAAGAGTCGTAAAAGATGAGAAAAATAGAGACAAGACGAAATATAAAAAAGGCATGGGGAGAATATAAGAAAGAAATAAGATAAAGAAAATAAGGTATTGAAGAAAAGCAGAAGAAAAATGATGAAAGGTAAAGAAAGTAAAGAAAATCAAATGGAAAAATTCAAAAAGAAACAAGAAAAAGCAAATAAAAAAACAAACAGAGAAATGAAGAAAGAACAAGATACAGAATTTTAAGAAATATAGAAGCAAAATGGAGAGTCAAGAAAAAAACAAGGTATAGAGTTGGTAAAAATAAAAAATAAATAGAAAGATGGTGAGAGAAGGAATTTGGGAGATAAGGCTAATATTTACAGCATAAATCAAAACAATTATTTCCAAAAACCAAAAGTTGGTTATAGGTTTCGGCCATAGATTAATAACAATAATATTTAGGGGTTTTCCGATCACAATAACCCCGAGGCAGAGGCCCAAAGGAGTATCGCGCATACCGCGTTGAATGACAAGACAGAGAGAGAGCATGCGTGTAACTTCTTTGGGCTTCTGCCTCAGGATTACTATGAAAGAAAAGCACCTAAATCTTGAAAAAGACGACATCTAGTGTTCTATCTGTATTGTTATTGATCTATTTTTTCGACAGTTAACATTCTGAAAATTTTTCCCCAAATGAAACTCTACTTTAAGAAAATTTAGCAAACTTTTTATTTAAAACTTTACTGTGCAGAGAATATAAATGAAAGATTATAATGGGAAAAAGAATAAATGGAATTAAGAGAGGAATAAAAGGAAAATTCATTTTTTTCAAGCTCACAATCATCATTGCGGTCACAAAAATCTTTTCAAAAAACCTCATTTTTGCATGACATGGAATTTCCTACAAAAATATGAGTGAACTCTAAAAGCAGAAAAAAAATTCTCTCACTATTTTTCTCTCTCACTGAACCCCTTATTTCTTTTCAGCCAAAAACAAGTAATTTCAGCTATTTTGTGACAAGTCTAGGGTTTTAAAAAGATTGTCACGAAAATTTATCAAACAAAATACGAAATGTTTCGACAGCATTTTAATTTTGTCTTTGTCTATATGAACAGAACTAAAGAAATACTCTATTAGTCGTTTAACCATTTAAGGGGAGGGGAGGGATTATAAAATTTTCTTGAGTATTTTCGCATAACCCAAATCTTTTCCTTCACGCCGTCTATCCGTTTGATACATTTCTTTAACCTTTTCCATCTTTCATCTGAAATTGGAAAAAGCAGGGTTCCGTCCGTGAAAATATATGTATACAGTGAGAACCAGAAAACTTTGGAATAGGAAGACGACATTAAAGTAATAATTAAGTGTCCATTTGATGGTGTTACAAAGCAGATAGTTTCACTAGAAACTTTTGCGTGAAATGAGTTCTGTTTATCATAGTAGTAGTTAAAGTCATAATTTAAATCTTAAAGTCGTCTTCCTATTCTAGAGTTTTCTGGTTCTCATTGTATAGTTTTGGACGTTGGTGATACATTCCAATATTTTGACGAAAGAACAACAAAGATTTTCCTTAAAATATCGTTTTAACCAAGTTGTAACATTTTACATTTTTGACAAAAAGTTAATCAGCTAAAAACATTGAAATTTACACGAGAATAACTTTAACTTTGCAAATTTTTGGTAAGATTTATAAACATAACAAATTATGACATAAAAAAATTCTCGATCAAAATAACACTTTCAGAGCGTAGAAATATATATTAAGCTTGTTACTTTAGGCATAAATTTATATGTATGTACGTCAGATCTTTCGTCTGAAATTAACAACGGAAATCGGCCACCGATTTATCGGCGGTCGCTGGGACCGGCAATCACATTTAGTATGGCAAACACGTTAGACTAGTGTTGTATTGTGAACAATAAATAAAAAACATTTAAACAGAGAAGCAGGAATAATGGTAAGCAATTTCATATAATTAACAGTAGTTTGTACCAAATTAAAGCATATTTTCTACTGCGGCACATGATGAAAATAACATTTAAAAACTTGAGCTAAATTCTAGTTTGAAAAATGAAGGTGGATCAGTGATGCCTACAGTGTTTTGTAAACTGATTGATTAAAGTAAACTTTAAATATCTCAAAAGATTTGAGGTTAGACAGAAAATCAAAAAAAAATGTATAAAAAAATAGAAAAAGAAAATTGCAAAAGTAAAAAAAGTAAAATATATTTTAAATTTCTAAAAAGTTTTTATAAAAAAAATACGACATTTTTATTGCAATTGTTTGATTTTTTTCAAGCTCAGCTAATTAACAATAACAAAAAATAGTTAAATTTTCACTTATTTTATGAAAAAGAATTTCAGACACTTCTAAAATAAACATGAATTTTCAAGTTCTATTCACATTATGACAGGCCACTGTACAGGTACACTGTACAGGTTTGTGTAAAATGTTTTCATATACAAGGTTAATAATATATGTACAGAACATCGTTACAACATGAATTACAAAAAGTTCAATAGAATCTGTATAAACATTTTCATCAACAATTGTGGACTCCGAATTCGGAGGTAAAAACAAAAGAAGGCACTCGATACATTGAAAGAGGCAAATTTTCAAAGGTTAATACATTATTTAAAAACTCGCAAAAAAATACTAATTTTCGTAAAAAAATATATATGTAGAGATTATTTTCTTTCAGGAACTAGGGTTTAAAAATGATTGCTAGAAATCTTTTTAAAAAAATATACCCCTTCAGGCCAAAAGGGAAAATCTGAAAGTTACACACCCCGGTTGCGGTATCACTTCAGAGATTATCTGTTGAGCACGAAGTAACGAGAGACAAAAAATTACAAGTATAAAAAATAGAAAAACAAACTGGTCTTTATAATGTTTAAGTGTGAACATTTTTGAAATGAGAAAATTAAAATGATATTTTTCAACTAACAAAATATTTGGACTTTTTGAAGATCAGGGGTGTATATTTTTAATTTATTTGAAAATCTGGAGGGAAAAATGAAAAATGGGATTTTTTTCTTACCCATATTCAACGAATACAACTCTTTAAAAATGCGAAAATGTGAAAAAAATATATTTTCAAAAAGGGTGGAGGGGGATGATTTTTTAGGAAAATAAACACACTCCTATTGAAGATTGTTGAATATAAATATCTCGGTTTCTGAATAAAGTAGATTACGCATGTAGAGCTTTAAATTTTAGCTTTGACGGACCCGAGATCGTTTACAGTGTATAATTATCCGTACATTTCATAGTACAGTGTTATGTACCTTACAAAGCATAACTGTACAATGTACATAACACTTTTTCCCTCATTTCACTGATTTGTTAAAAGTTTAGAGAACGGTGGCGTAGTGCCGAGTATTCTGGTACATATCCATTGTACACTGAGTATTCTGGTACATGTTCAATGTACACGACTTTGTCTACTCCCCGATCTCGCAGAGTGTAATATCGTACATGATACTGTCCTGTCCCTCCAGTCCCTCCAGTTCAATAGCGGTCACCTGATCACAAATTAATTATTAAAGGGACTGTTTATATAACTTTAAGTTTCCCTTTTGGAAAATTTCTAGTTTTTAAAACACTGCACATCTAATTTTATTAACTGAAAGTATTTAAGAGATGAATTTTAAAAACCATTAAAAAAATATGTAAAACTAAATAAATGCTAAAAATAGAGTTTAAATTGATGAAAATCATTCTTTTTTACTTGAAATAGAACTATATCAAACATCTAAAATGGGAATTTTTGAGAAATAAAAATTACCAGAGGAATCTTCTTGAACTTTTCTCACACTTCATTTGAACTTTTCTCACACTTCATTTGAACTTTTCTCACACTTCAATTGAACTTTTCTCACACTTAATTTGAACTTTTCTCACACTTAATTTGAACTTTTCTCACACTTAATTTGAACTTTTCTCACACTTCATTTGAACTTTTCTCACACTTCATTTGAACTTTTCTCACACTTCATTTGAACTTTTCTCGCACCTTATTTGAACTTTTCTCACACTTCATTTGAACTTTTCTCACACTTCATTTGAACTATTCTCACACTTCATTTGAACTATTCTCACACTTCATTTGAACTTTTCTCACACTTAATTTGAACTTTTCTCACACTTAATTTCAGTGCTAAGTATCAGAAAAGATTTATTTCCGTAATTTCTTTTCCTTCTTTTCCTGCATTCAAAGTAGATTTAGTTTCAGGACGATTCTTTTTTTCTTAAATATCTTTGATAAATAATTTAATCTTTTATTTATTGGAATTCGGAGCTTGAACTCTTGTTCTTCAAGGAAAAAATAAGGAAAATTTTAAAACTGTTATTGTCAACTTTTAAAGAAAATGAAATGAAAATTAAAAATAAACTTCATATATTTGCAATTTTCACCAATTTAAATTTTTGCGTAAATTTTAAATTATTCTTTTAAATTTAACTCCAACTTTATTTAAAATAAAGAAAAAAATAAATTGTCGAAAGAAACTTTTAAACTTTTGCTTTATACTTTAATCACTTTAATCAGGAAAGAGTTTTTTCGTAATTTAATTTATTTCTTTTTCTGCATTATAAGTAGAATAGTTTTTATTTGTTTCTTCCAAGAAAATTCGTTCAAAAGTATTTCTTTCCTGCAAGAGATGTCTCTTTAGAAATCAAATTCGTTATTTCATGAGAAATCGATAATAAGTCAAATTTATAATTATTATTGAAATGTTTCCATTTCTTAAACAAGAGTTCCTGCTGCTTTAAAACCACGAAAAAAAATATATAAAAACAGGATGGGGCTTCAGCAACGGTTCAAACAATAAGTGTGCATTTATAAAAAATGTTTTTTTGTTCATAATTCACGTTTTTTTGTTCATAATTCACGTTTTTTTGTTCATAATTCACGTTTTTTCGTTCATAATTCACGTTTTTTCGTTCATAATTCGCGTGAACGATATATAAATCTAATAAAAGTCGGAAGTAGAATTGTAATCTAACCATGCATTCAGAGACAATTATAAAGGTTTACAATTGGAAGAAAAAGGTTAATTAGGATAATTAAGGGGAAACATATCAGTCTAGATTGTTCCAAGTGCATATTGTTCTATTTTCCCGCTTGACAGTTCGGGGNATCCGGATCGTGGATCCGCCCGGAAAAAAATGGACACGGTTCCAGGTCATGAACATTTATTGATTTTTACAAAAGAAGAATTTTCAAATTATTTTTTTTCTGATTTTTTCGCATATTTTTTATATTTAATCTGGATAGACCATCCAGAGATAAGGATATTTTTAATAACCTCTCTTTTAAAAAAGTTCAGGTTTGAAGGTTGAGATCATTAAGTTACAGAATTTGGTTGATGTTACACCTTAGTACCGGATCCGTAAATGCGCGTATTTTTGCAGATCCGGATCCAGGAAGCCAAAGGGTTGCTGATCCTAAGCACTAGAAGAGGGTATTTAATTTCAAAGGACAGCGTTACAAAGATCATTGAAAGATTTAAAGGTTTTAAAACAAAAATATTTTTAAAAAGTTGAAAATTAAAAGAAGGCCAAAAAGGAAGAAAAAAACCCCGATCACAATCAAGGATAAAAATGAATTTGTACCTGCATAAGAAAAGTGTCCTCGTTGCAGTAAAACTTGAGAAGATCGTCGTCCAGCTTCGCGATTATCCCCTTCGCGTTCCGTCGGTACAGATATCTTATAGCAGTCGCAGACACGTTATATTTACTCTCTATTGCCCGAGCTAGACCTAAAATATGGCAGTTTTAGATATGTTTTATTTATACTTTCTATTGCCCAAGCTGGACCTAAAGTATGAAATTTTTAGATACGTTATACAGGAGTATATGTTTTACCCCACTTTGTGGAACAGAAGAAAAAATGCAGGGGTGTATCTTTTTTCAAGAATTGACCCCCCCCCCCTCGGGATGATTGGTAAAGATCAGTGGAAGAAAAAATTATTTTTTTTGATACATTTGGGTTAAATGTATTAAATGTATAACTTTATTTATTTTCCCCACTTCAGCCAAAAAAAAACTACTAAAAAATAATTTTTAAAGGTGGGAATAATTTTTCAAAACAAAATATACACCCCTGAAAAATGTCCGTTTTTTATGCTGTTGGTGAAAAATATTCATCACTTTAATAAAATACGAATTAGTTTCAATTTATTCATTTTATCTTATTTTATTCGTCCAATTTCTGATATAATATTAACATCAAACTGTACCTTTGACAGATTTTCTTTCTGTCAAAGTAGAATAGTTTACTTGTAAAAATTAATTAATTAAGATTTTCATTCTCCGCGTAAAAATCATTCCCAAAATGTTTAGATAAGAAACTTAGAAAATATATAATTTATGCCTTAAACAGTAATCTATACCAATACTTTGCTTGTCTGTTTGTTTGTATCCAATAAACGTCAAACTGCTAAACCGATCGGGCCCAAATTTTGTGTGGGACTTCACATGTCTCCAGGGAAGTTCAAAATTTTAAAAAGTTGCCCATAGCAAAATCCGATTTTCATTAAATATTGAAATTTCACGATTTTTTAAAATAAAATTCACTACTTTTATTTTACAATGTATACTAAGAGAAAATGTAATTTTTGTATAACCTGGCACAGTTGGAGGAACAAGATGCAGAGGAGTATATATTTCCTCATTCTCCTGTCTCACATACACAACCATCCTAGTCTCAGGAGGAGGAAACGTTTTTCTTCTCTTAATCTCGGGCGCTCCGCCCCCATTGGATTTTAGAAGAGAGTTTCCTGGGCTGGGTGAGAAGGCAGGGGCTATAGGAAGAGGTGTGGGACTGTCAGCGTTCTCCGATGGTGTGAAGAGAACCGGGATTTTTGACAGATCCACCATAGAGTAGAAATCTGATCTGTCCTGGCATTGATGATACATATCAAGAACACGCTGACCTCCAGCTGCAACTTTGCGAGCTGCTCGCCGCTCCTCCTGGCGAAACTTCCGCTCGGCGCCCTTATCACAGAATACCTTGACCTGACAGTATTCTCGATGTACAATATCATACTCCCCGTCAGCTGGGTTCTTGACGTAGGTGTCGATCTGTAAATGCATGGGAAGTCCCTTTACTCCTTTCTGCAGAGAAAAATCAGTGGACAAGCATTGAATGGCGATTGATATAAAAGCGGGCTTCTGTAGAGGATGCCAGTAGACACAGATAGAGTTGTAGGAAATATCCTCTATCCGGGCAATACCACAATCATCGGAAATATTATTCGTCTCTGCATCCAGAATCCTTTGCTTATTCGTCGGCTGACGTTGATGCCAGAACGCCCAAGCGTTGAGTTCATCCTCGGGGTTCTTGGCGTCTCTGAATACGAGCATGACGACACTCTTCACCTCGTTCATGTTTCCATGTATGTGCTCCGCCGGGTTGGGTCTGTACTCAAGGGTGATCCCGTAGAACTGTCCCTTGTTCATGTATGTACACCGATCCTCATCCTTCCGAACCCACTGTGCAGTCGGAGCCTCTAATGTACAATGGAATCCAAACGGTGAGAACTGTTTAGGGATTTGTACTCTACCATTATCCTGAGCTCTGGCTCTCCTGCTCCCACTAGACCCTGGAGAATAGTTAGTTAAAGTCTCCGGCATGTCATCCAACCCTGAGTCTGACCTGGCCTGGTCCTCCAGTAGCATGTCTCCAGTTATACTCATAGCCCTTGATCCATCACTAATATGATCTTCTAAAATATGCTGAGGCAAAATTTGATTTAGAATTGATTTGTCAGACTCTTTCAAGGATCTCAAGACATTTTGAACTGCTGTAGCCGCACTGGCTTGAATTGCTTGGGCGCCGGCTTCCAAATCAATGCTTTGTCTTAAACCCTCCCCCTCCCTGTCTATACTAAAGCTAAGATCTTCTGGTTCGGTTTTCGTGGTATGAAGAATATAGGTTTGATTATCTCCTTGAACATGAAGAACTCCATCTCCTAGCTGGGCTTCACTAGTGATCACAACCTGTTGATTTCCATCCGTCATTAGAACAACCTGTTGATTGGAGTTGAGGGTGTCCAGACCCTCCTGCATGTCCAGGTCATGCATAACAAGGTTACTAGATCGATCACTCTGTGTCACTTCATCAATCTCGGCACTTTGATTTACTGTCATTTTCCACTGGTTTATTTGTTTTAATTTAACTGTCTTGTTAAAATTTGACCTAGGGTCGGAAAATATTGTATGTTTTCGACTTGACCTATCACATATCTTAAAATCTTGTTAATTGTTGTGAAAATAAATCACAATACGTATATTTTGTTGAAAGTTTTTGTTGATATTTTGTGTTCTGAACCAGCTCTTCGCTTCACAGCCTAGCTCAGGTGAAAGGAATGTTTACATATGACCCTGTCCCTACTCAATTGTTCAACCAATCAGAGCGCGCTTTTAATTAATTCTGACCAATCAGAGCATACCTGCCACATATTCTGTCCAATAAGAGCTCGTCTTGAATAAATCTTGCCCAATGAGAGACCGAGTTGACTTTTATAGTCAAGTGTTGGACCGAGGAGGGTTCGGAACTCTGCCAAACCAAACCTCGGCGGGAGTATTCAAATCTGACTTACTACACTTAACACTTTCGTTAATTACTTCACAGGACGGGTCGCTGGGAGAATCAAGGGTGAAGTGTTGTAAAATGACTGAAACCGAAGTACAAAGCACGGATAAAGTCGGAAAACCAGTAAATGAGGTGAAACTGAACAACAAGTCCAGAAGGAGAAGAGATCAAAATGATTTGAGGAAAAAAGTTCTCAAAGATCAAACTTGTAAACATCTGAATTTCAGCACTAATCCTGTTCAAAATGAACGGATTATGAAGAACAAAGGTGCCAATAAACCTGGTAAACCTAGTTCACAGACTGAAAAACCCTTATCTGCCAAAGAAAATGGAGTCCCTGACCTTCCTAGGTTGTCCTGTGAAGAGAAAACTCTCCGTGTCCGCCGTAAACTGGAGAAAATAATCCACAAGAAAGATTCGGCGGAGGAAGAGAAAGCAGCGGACCTCCTCTCCGCCCTGGACCGTATGAAGTATACTCCGGAGGTTTTAAACTCCACTAAGATTTGTTTAACCATTGAAGCTCTTATATTCACAACTAAGGATGAAAATCTGATCTCTAAAGCCAAAGAAACCTTGAGAAAACTTAAATCAGTCCTCCCCCAGGACCCCCCTCCACCTGTATCCTATTCAGAATGGAGAGATGAAAGAGAAAGGTTTAAGAAGAGAGAAGTCGAAGAGAAGGAGAAGAAAGAGAAAGAAGAAAAGGAAAGGAAGAAGAGAGCAAATGAAAAGAAGAAAAAGGAAGAATACATCAAGAGACAGGAAGAAAAGAAAAAGATAGAAGAAAGAAAAGAAAACGAATCTTCAAACAAAGAAGAAACTGAAATTAAAAAAGATGAAACTTATGATAAAGAGAAGACTAAGAGTGAAGAAGAGCCTGCTGCTACAGCAGAAGATGGAGCTAGCTCCTTCCCCTCCATGAGACTAGGATACTGGATGGATAAACTACTAAGTGGAGTGGATCAACTCTCCCTACTGGATAAGAAGGTTGGACAGATGGAGGAGAACGTCAAGAAGATCGAATCTGTGGATTCCAAGAAATGTGATAAAGTAACTGGGAAGTCTGTGAAACCAAGCAGAACACAGGTTGTAGAGAAGAACGTATTTGACTCAGACCTTCTTATGATCACAAAAACCATCCAGAAGTTTGAAATCAAAGATAAATCTGACCCAACCAAGATTGCAGTTGTTAAACCTAAACCCATCCCACCAACCCTCTCCGAGATCCAACTAGTTTTAGACTCCCATGAGGAACATGATGTAAACGTTGTGATAAAAAATCTGAAAACCCTATCTTCCATGAATATTGTGCTCCATGAGCTTACATCCACTAGACTAGGCCTGACCGTCAACAAACTGAGGAGAAGTACACAAAATACAGAAATTTATGATCTTTGCCGAAACCTGATCAAAACCTGGAGGAAACTAATTAATGAACCTTCCTCAAAAGCAAACGTAGCGGAGGAGAAGAAAACTGAAGGAGAGAAGAAAAAAAGTAAAGAAATTCATGAAACTAAGGATGTGACTGATGAAATCCGCGAATATTACAAGAACAAGATTGTGTCCGCCCTGAAAAGCAACAACTCTCTGTCGGACTCCTGCAAGCTGACGATGAACACCCTCGCAACGGAGATAGAGGAGGCGATATTCAAATTGTACAAGGAGACTAACTCAAAATATAGAATACAGGTAAATTGGTATCTAACAGAATTTTCAATTTTATTTAGCTATCAATTCACACGTTTCTTATTTTCCCTGTTTTCTAACAGATGTTTAGAAATTAAGTAAAAGATAGGAATCATTTGCTAAAATTAATTTCAATTAATTCGGAACACAATTCTGGAACGAATTAAGGGAGGGGGGTTCTTATAAAAAAACATTTATCGCTCTTTTGCTTATAACCAATTAAATCTCTTCCTTTAAAATAACTTCAGTACTTGAACGAATCCCTACAACCGTTTTCTATAAATAAAATAATAAAACCTTACTTCATTTTTAAATTTGTCTAGGATTCTTACATAAAATATTAAAATGTTCAAGTTGAAATAATTTGTTTTAATATTAAAAATCATGCTTTAACTATATTTTCCAATTTAATTTAATATTTTCTAATTTGATTTTATATTTCCTAATTTTATTTTATTTTTTTCTAATTTGATTATATATTATATAATCTAATTTTTTATATTCTAGATGAACTCGAGATATTTTAATATCCTACGGAACCCGACTCTACAGGAGAACCTGCTGCTAGGGAACCTAAACCCTGGATCCCTAGCCTCCATGCAGTATACAGATTTAGCTCCAGACCAGGTAAACATAAAGGAACTCTACACCCGTAAATTCAAGTGAGATATCCTTATTTTTATGAAAATCTATGGCTTTAGATTGTGCGTTTTGCTTAAAAGGGAATTGCGGCTTCATGCGGCCAAAAGTAATGTAAATTGTCGGAATTCAAGACGTTTTAAGCCGATTCTCAATGGTACCCTTAACAGCTTTTCTTAGTAAGAACAAAGGAGATATCCATGACGTATCTTTAACCCAAAACAGGCTGGGAATCGTCCCCCCCCCCCCTTCATCTACTTTGTTTGTCCTAAAATCTTATTTTTTGACACCATCACTGTGAAATGTTTTGACTTAATGAAACAAAATTGAAAGAATTTTTGTAAAATAATTATTTCTTTGATGCATAGGATAGGTAAAAAGTCCGGTCTGTTAAAAAAATCTAAAAATTATATTCTTGAAAAGCCCTTGAAAATGGATTTAGAAACACTGATATTTGCTGAAAACCAAAAAAAAAAATTTACATTTTTACTCTTTTTTCATTTTTTTTTCAACCCTCCTTAGCACCCAATCCATTAATATTATCGGTCCATTTTTTTCAATGGGCTGGCCTTGAAAAGTTGGTCTATGAACATTGAACATGCATTTTAACCCTATACCTATTATCATCAACATCAACAACTGGTTGAGTAGAAGACCTTTTTCTATTTATTATTATGAGCGACTTGCGGATGTCTACTTCAGGCACAACGAAGAATTTTTTTTATTTATAAATTCTTCAAGTTAAAAAACGTTCATATTTTCCCCTTGAAATAAAACTTTAAAGAGTATCGTTGTGAATCGATCAGGCCACCCAGAAAGCTTCTAAAAAGTTTCTCTTTTTTTATGAAGAAAGATAGATTTCAGTGGAGGAAAAGTGATTTTTAAGTAATATAAACCCCTGGATAGTTTATCAACTGACATAATCTCAATCCCAACAATTAGTTATCACCTTAAGATGAAGTGTAAATAAAACTATGAAAATAAAAATAAGTTTTTTTTTGAAAAGAAAATCATGATAAACCGGTTTCAATTGAGCGCTGACTTAAATCTTGATAAACTGAATACAATTTTAAGTGGAACCAACTATATTTGTGCCCCTGTTTAAATTTAAGCCGTGGCTCAAATCCTTTCATTGATCGCTCTCTTTGAATCGATCGCTACGTAAAAGTTATTTTATCTTAGACGGGATCTGTACTTGTAGGATCTGCCTGTACCCCTAGATAAAGTATTAGATATGCTTTTCCTACTCGTTACAATAGTAGATCTCTGCTTTAGTTCTTATTTCTCATTTGGCAGACGTAATCCGCTTTAAGTTCCCGTCGTTTTTAGATTAAAATGTTAAAATTTTGCCCTTATTGAATAAGAAAGGGGAAAGGCTTGTTAAGACTTTCTTACATCTCATTTGAAATCTGAAAATTGATCTCATTATAATTTATAAATCTTTATTGAAGGATTTTAAAAAATTAATTCTTGTTCACAATATTATTGCATTTATTTTGGATGTGTGCATTGTTAAACGAAATTTGTAAATCACGTGTATTTTCAACTTTTCTATATTTTTCATATATTTCTTCCATTTAATTGTTAATATTTATAATACTATGCAAGTAATAAAGTTACTAATTTGATATGTCGTCTTCTTTTCAAAACTTAATGACTACATAAATTCATTTAAATATGATGAGCTGAAGGTTATATTTGGTTATCTGTCTTATAATTACAGAGCGTCCCATATCATATTAATTACTATCTCCAAGGTTTAACGCCAAAATACGCACATTATAATCGAAAACGCTGGTTTTTTCTGAAAGAGAACTTTTATGATAGCCTCATACATTTTTCTCAAATGATTCATTGGTTTTTTAATATTTTAATTAGTCCCTATAAAATCACAATCTTAAGCTATAAACTAGGCAGGCACCATCTCCGATTTTTCTAAAACTAAATTCATGAATTGACCTAAATAAGACCCGATTTTTCCCCCTGCGACCTCTCCTGGCGGACTACCTCTTCATTAAGTTCAAACTGCAAAGAGTTGTTAATTAAGATATTGGCTTGATTTGACGCCAATTTTCAGACAAAAACAGGGCTCTAGTAAAACGTAATTGTCCGTAAGGGGTAAATATTACTTAAAACTGTAACTTAAAAAATAAAAGACCTAGAAAACTTCGTTTTCTTCATATCTGTATAGATTAGTTCTTAATATGTAAACAAAATTCTGTCAAAATTTTTATGCTCGAGAAATGATTGGTTTAGTATGTTACTATTCATATACAGGGTGTCCCAATAAACATGGAAATTTATTGACGACTTTTATATCGTCTTTGATCCATGTGGCATTTTTTCATGAACACAATTAATCCAGTATTCCAGCAATAAACATCTAATATCGAAAACGCCTGGTCATGGGATTTTTAAAATGTGGTCTACCATTTTTTTATTTTCAAAATTGACGGAGATATTGCAAAATTTGTACAAATTTAAATATATTGAATAATTAAAATTTGTCTTAATATCTAATACCTTTGTCAAATTTTAAGATATAATGTACACCCTGTACACCCTGTACACCCTGTACACCTTTTATGAAAAGCACGTCAGACGTACAGCCTCGGTTTTTTTTCTTTCCTTGCCATGCATTAAATACTAGAAATCAAAGACGACTTCCAAGTCGTGTCTCAATCCAAAAATGTGGGGAGAAGGCTAAATAAGTTTTAAAAGAAATACAATATTCGAATTGGAATAAATATCGTCTTTGTCCTTTCTCTTATTTCTAAAAAATCTTGCGTAGGACTTTCTTATCAAAACTTGCTGCAGCTGATCTAAAAGAAATTAATTTTGGGGTCATATCGCAATCTCAGTCTTAATATCTAACTTTGTCACAAGATACTGCTAACAATAACCATATAGAATTTATGTAAGAAAGTCACAGGAAAAAAAGTATCTGGAAAAAAACCTGGAACCAAAAATTTTCCCAATTTTCGGAACTCCTAGGACAAAATGTCACTGGAAATAAAGTCCTAAGTTTTAACTTCTCGGGACTTTTTTCCTAAAATAATATGGACGCTGCCAATAAAAATATGTGGATTCTTTGCTCAACAAAATGCGTTTAAACAAACGAAAATTTGAAGAAAAAATGACTGTTCTTGAAAAGATCATCCTAGACGCTAACCTTGAAGTCCATAATGATCCTAAGATTGATAACCTTCTTGATAAAAGTAAAACATTTGAAGCCCACAGAGATTTTTCTTTAAAAGCAGTTGAAGAAATACCAGAGGTTAATTTAACTTATTATTGTGCAATTAAGGGTGTTTTGATCACAGTTTTTTAATGTTAAACTTTTTAAAAAGTTTTTTAGATTTAAAAAAAAAAATTTAATTTCTATTTTTTGGTTATTTAAAATCATTTATAGTTTTCATTTTTTTATAATTTTTTGTGAAATAAACAACATACTTAATTAAGGAAAACTAATGTTCAACAGGATTCAATTGTAAAATTTAATTGTCAATTTTTTTTCTGGAGAAACTCTAGGATGGCCATTCTTTAGGTACTGATGTCAGAGTTGCTGTTGAAATCAAAATGAAAAATTACGATCCTGGAAACTAAAATTAAAATGTCAAATATGAGAGGAAAATTTTAAGTTATATAGCTGAATTGGTTTGTTCTGAGATGTTGAATGGGTTAATCTGCTGAACAATCCAGAGATGTTTTCAAGGATGTATACGGGGGGAGGAAGACTTAAGCCGCCCAAAATTTCAGAACACATTCTATATCAAACAATTTTTCGAAGTGTCCTCCAATCCTTATACATACAGCAATTATTTCTTTCATTGCGTTTTGCTTTTTCTAAAAAAGTTCAAGGAACATAATGTTTAGGCGTCTATAGTTTTTTATATAAAGACTATACGAGTAGACTGTAAATACAGAAGAAAAAAAATATTTTTGAAAAAAAATATTTAGAAAACTTCAAACTTATCACTCAACGCATTTTTAATTTTCACCCTATTTCAGAGTTCTGGTTCCCCTTCGATCTGTGAAGTTAGGAAAAAATGAGAATAATGATCTGTAATGATCACGCTGAGCATAATCTTATTGAAGAAAGGAAGCTCAGTATTTACTGCTGGTCCGGGATGCTCTCTTGTTTATCTGAAAACACAAAATGGAAGAATTCAGAATAGGTTGAAATAAAGATTTTATAATTCTCTCGTTTAAATTTATCAAGGTTTAAATGGTACTGTTTTAATGCCCGATTTACAACGATACCCTTTATAGCGTTGTCTGATCAAGTATGAATTAGATATCAAAGTTTCTTTGTAAAATATGCTTGCCGCTCCTTGCTGACACGAAACAACGGTGAAATTAATCAAAATTAAACACTTTTCGAGTCAGAAATGGGCATTTATTCCACATTTATAGGGTGGGATATTTTTATTTAGATTAAGGTTTTAAGCTTTTACTGCTGTAAATCGGGCCAATTTTGCACAATATATATACAGTGGTAACATATAGTAACATCCAGAATTTTTTTGAATAATTGTCGTCTTCGTTGTTTCTCTAGCAAGAAGTTTCTATTATGATTTTAAAATAAAAAAATGTCGCAGGGCACATTTTTCATAATCAATTAGTTAGTAATTACAAAATCAATGGTGACATTTTTAAAGAAGTTCTATAAACCCATTCTATTGTTTTTGTTAATACCCAGTACAAGAATTCATAGAAAACCAATCAAGGAAAAAAATGTCATTTTAATGATTTCAAATTTGTATCCATGTTTCATTAATGTACACATATTTTATCATATTCTAAATGTCAAGAATATAAAAGTCTTAGAAGTACATTCCTTAATTGAAGACGACCTATTATAGCCTTCGTTAAAATCAAATCAATTGCTCGGTCGGTAACCGTCTTGGTACCCGCTCATCCGACCTATAGGAAACTGACTTTGGTGTTTCTGACCTACAATTGTGTTGGATCTTATAATAAGTTATAGATACGGATAAGCTTGGTAGTGGGAGTTGGAGGGGGGT